CGTCTGGGGTCGGGGCTTCTTATCTTGGCCAATGCCTTTGCTTAGGGTTTAGGGTTTTTAGGGTGTAGGGTGTAGGGTGTAGGGTTTAGGGGTTAGGGGTTAGGGTTTAGGCTTTAGGCTTTAGGGTTTAGGGTTTAGGGTACCTGTTAGGGTTTCCTTATTTACTGGGAGCAACTTTTGCCCCTGTATTCTTGGAGAAGTAAGGTTGTAATGATTGTAGGCTTTGGGTTCAGGGTGCAGAGGGCTTCGGGGTTTCAGGGTTTCAGGGTGGTGTTGAGCCTTTTTTTTGTTGGTGGGTGCTTCGGCTTAGGTTTGATGGTGGAGGGTTGAAGGTCCAAGGCTTTGGCCTAGGGTTGATTCGAACGCCAAGTCGTGAATCCTTTGAACACCCCCCCCCCCCCCCCAAATTTCTGTGAGGGGTTGGCACCTACTTGGAGGTTCATGATCATGGTACTTATTATCCAAGTACAGCTGTACTTACCACGCACATATAAGACCCTTAAGTGCCGTAATATGGTCATAAGTGTAGTGATAAGTATAGTTATAATTGGTTCATAAGTACCATGAACCTCCAAGTAAGCCCCACGACCTCGATGGTTTGGGACAACCCAAACGATCGATTTGAGTTAGAGGTTGAAAGGAAGAAGCACGCACTGTAGGGGTCGGAATTAGAGTTTAGGGTTCGGGTTTAGGGTTTAGGGTTTAGTGTTTCAGGTTTAGCGTTTTTTTGGTTTTTTTTTTTTTTGGGGGGGGGGGGAGGAACCGAGAACCGGGATCATGTATGTGGGTTTTTTGTTCAGGTTTTATATGGTTAATAGGATGTATAGAATTTGTTGGATTTATAGGAATTTGTAGGGTTTATCGGACTCAATAGGATTTTTAGGATTCATAGGGTTTATAGGGTTTATAGGAATCAATAGGATCTAGTAGGATTCATAGGGCTAGTTGGGTTCAGTCTTTCGGCCGCCTCGCTGAGGTGTCCCATTGCGGCCCCACGGCGCACGTTAATGAGTTGGGTTTCACTTGCGTACGAAACACAGGCGGATGAAACGCAGACGCATGACGAGTTAGGGTTTAGGGTTAAGGGTTTAGGGTTTAGGGGTTAGGGTGTAGGGTTTAGGGTTTAGGGTTTAGGGAAGGTTGTTGGCAAAGAAGACTTGCTGTCTTGATCGTAAAACCGAAGCACGACTTCCACTTCAAGCAGCACAAGAAACCGCACCCGAACTGGGGTTCACCACCCCTCCGTTTATTACAAGGCGGGGTCCGTGCTGAAGAGCTTTTCTCCGCATCTGCGGCGAAGTGATTTGCAATTAGGGTTAAGGGTTTAGGGTTTAGGGTTTAGGGATCAAGAAATTTTCATCCCATCCGCAATCCGAAGATCCCAGAGCAAGGAGGAAATATCTTGACAAATTGTCAGCAGATCTTGGGGTTTAGGGTTTAGGGTTAGGGGTAGGTCCCCATCTCTTGAACCCTAAGCCCTAACCCGCATCATAGCTTTAGGTTTTGCATTTGCCACGCGGACCCCCTGCACGAAACACACAGACGCGTAGCGTAGGCCCGGATAAGGTGGAGACGGCTACCAAAGGTAGCAACCGGAACAGACAGCTGGGAGGCCGGATGACCATGACCCCAGAGCCACAGTCACACAAGAGAACCCGTTTGAAGAAGTTTCGCTGGGTATCGCTGCCATGGAAGGGGAGCTCAAGCCCAATGTAAACCCTAAACGCCTAAGATGGGAAGGGGGACCTTGCAATGGACTCAAGGTACAGAGTAGCGTTTTGAGGAATTTGGGTTTAGAGGGTTCGTAGGGTTCCAGGGTTTCGGGTTCAGGGCATCCCCCCCCCCCCCCCACCCAGAACCCCCCTCCCCCCCCCCCCCCCCCCCCCCCCAAAAAATGTCGCCTGTTCCTGATTACACTGGCAAACTTGTCTTGATAGAGGAGCCCGAACAAAGCCCCAAAGCCCTCAGATCCGAACCCCAAACCGCTAAACCCTTCGACGATATAAGAACAGCAGATAAGGAACGACAACTGACAGGAGGTCAAGGCCTAGCTGATATATATATATATATATATGTATGTATATGTATATGTATATGTATATGTATATGTATATGTATATTGTGTGTGTGTACCATATATATATATAATACAATACATATATAGATATATCAGAATGCCAGACTCGAAGGCAGTTAGCCCTTTGTCAACGTCGCCCGGCTTTCCCCGGATGTCCTCCGCCAAGCATTTGTATGGGGTGCCCTTTTTGCCCTCTGAGTATGGTTTTTAATACCGGTGGGGTATCTCGGGTCGACCCGGAGAGAAGCCCAATGGGGTTAGGTTTAGGTTTAGGGTTTGGGGTTTAGGGTTTAGGGTTTTAGGGTTTAGGGTTTAGGGCTGTTCGGTGCACCCTTGATCAGCAGGCTGCAAACGCAGCAATGATTTTCGACTGGAATTCTCTTGCATGGATTCGGTTTGTGCATGTGGAAAAAGGCATTGGTCAGCTAGTGGACGGAAGGGGTCGGGCGGGGTTTAGGGGTTTGGGGCAGTTCCCCCCCCCCCCATATCCCTCTTTTCATATGAGCACCCTTTTGACACCAAATAGAAGCAACAAGGACCCAAAGAAAGGGTACCCCTATTTTCGGAAACCTCCATATGCCGCAAAAAGAGCTTTGAGGACCCTAAGCCTAAACCCTGAACCCCAAATCCTTACATGCACCAGCCTGTTGTAAGGTATCCTGCCTATGTATGTATGTATGTATGGCCGTGGCGCACCCTGCCCCGAAGGTGGGATTACAGCCAGTCAAGGCGTGGCGGCTAGCCGCGGCGAACAGCCGAGTCAAGACAAGAAAACAAGGTGCGACTTTGTCGCAGCCAAGGCAAAACGGCGCAGTCACCGCGTCAAGTGAGACTCACTAAGGTATCCTGCCTCCTGCCTGGGAACAGCCCGCCTGGAGGGCAATCATGCTTCAAGACCCCAAACCCTAAGCCCTAAACCCTAAACCCTAGACCCCCAAACCCTAAACCCCAAACCCTAAACCCTAAACCCTACGCCCTAAGCCCTGAGCCCTAAGCCCTAAGCCCCATACCCGAACGGCCAAGCCCCCCCCCACAACAACTAGCTCGCTTTGCGGCTCCGCGCTTCGCCTACTTCTCACGTGCCCGTGTGGGACGGGCCCTGCGGGTCTTCCTTTGCCTGGTCTCAGTGGGTTTAAGGTTTAGGGCTTTAGGGTTTAGGGTTTAGGGTTTAGGGCTTTAGGGTTTAGGTTTTAGGTTTAGGGTGTTTGGGGAGGGAGACTTAGGGGGGCTTTGAGGGTACAGAGGCCTAGACCCTAAAACCCTAAAAACCCAAAACCTCTTAAAACCCTAAAGCCCTAAGCCCTAAAGCCCTAAACCCCTGAAGCTCTAAACCCCAAAACCCAAGCCCTAAACCCCCAAACCCTAAAACCCTAAAACCCTAAAACCCTAAAACAAAACCCTAAAACCCTAAAACCCTGAAACCCAAACCCTAAACCCTAAACCCTAAAACCCTAAAACCCTAAACCCTAAACCCTAAACCCTAAACCCTAACCTAACCCTAACCCTAACCCTAAACCTAAACCCTAAGCCCTTCATCGCACCTCAGTGGGTCGTGTTGTTTCGTTTTTTGGTACCGAGGGATTGGCGGCTTCCGTTCTTCTTTTGGGGTTTAGGGTTTAGGGTTTAGGGTTTAGGTTTAGGGTTTAGGGTTTAGGGTTTAGGGTTTAGGTTTTTGTTTTTGTATGGTGCAGGGGTTCCTCTGATGGCAGGATGGCCAGGATGGCCTGTGGCACTCTTATTTACCTTCCCTTAAGCCCTAAACCCAAACCCTAAACCCTAACCCTAAACCCTGGGACCCTAGACCCTAAACCCTAAACCTTACTTTTCATCCTAGGCCAACCGGTCAAACTAGATAGGGCTTGTCAGAGGTTGGGACTGGCTGGTGGAAGCGTTCTGGCCCAGAATCAAGTGCCGTTTATGGACTTCACCGTAGCAGGCGCAGTTCTACAGCCAAGGACTGTGGCTAGACCCTCAAGATAAACCCTAACGGTCAAAACCCTAGCCCTAAACCCTAAACCTTAAACCCTAAACCCTTAACCCTAGCCCTAAACCCTGAACCCCGAACCTGAACCCTGAACCAGCCCCGAAGTCTACGTCAGGTTCCCAGGGCGTGTGCCCCTTCACGCGGAACGAGGAGGCGAACTGGAGGACCCAGCCCTCCAGCGATTCTGTGTGGTAGGGTTTAGGGTTTGGGGTTTAGGGTTTAGGGTTTAGGGTTTAGGGTTTAGGGTTTGGGGTTTAGAGTTCAGGGTTTGGGGTTGAGGGTTCAGGGTTCAGGGTTTAGGGCCTTGTGAGGTTTCGGCGTGTTTGGGTCTTGGCGGTGCCAGGGTTTGTTGCGGGGTTTTCAGGTCGTTTTTGTGGGATTGTGTTCTGCGCGTTGTGTGTGTGTGTGTAATTTTAGTTTCTCAGAAGGTCTACCAAGATACTCAGAGCTCGCATCAAGCAGGGAGAGGGGATGCACCCCCATCCAACGAATCTGCCCGGATGTGTGGGAAACGATAAGGGATGCCTTGACATGTGCCTTGCATCTCAAAGGTTCAAGTCGACGCATCTACATGTCCTCATGACGTTCCGGGTCATGGTCCAAAGCAATAACGCTGAAGAGGTTGATGCTGGACACTTTCCAGCAACCGCGCAACCCGAAACCCTAAACCCTGAACCCTATGAGGCCAATCCCTGCTGTGGCCATGGGCAGCCCTAAACCCGAAACCCTCACCCCTAAACCCCAAACCCCCATTCCGAACCTTACCCCCCGCCTTGATAGGCAGCCGATGAAGCTGCAGCAGCCTGGCGAGCAGATGGACTTTGTCATAGAAATGACTTCAACCCTGCATCCCAATACCTTGTTGGGGCCCTGTACACTTTGTTTCTAGAGCCTCGGGCTGTGGATGTGCCGAGGCAGAGGCACGGGGCGGGCCAGCCCATGCAGGGCCAGCCCATGCAGGGCCAGCCCATGCAGGGCCAGCCCATGCAGGGCCAGCCTATGCAGGGCCAGCCCATGCAGGGCCAGCCCATGCCAAGCCAGCCCATGCAGGGCCAGGCGGGGAGGGCGCTTTGAGGTTCTGGAGTCCAGTTCCTTGGAATCTATGTGTTCCAGGCTTCGTTTCTTGGAAGGCAACCATTCTACCCTCACCCCTGAGCATGACGTGCACCGGCTCCCCCCCCCGCGGGCGTTGGTCTCAAGTGCCTGCAGCCCTAAACCCCGAGCCCTAAACCCCAAAACCCTCAACCCTAAGCCCCCTCCCCGCCCCTCAAAGCAAAGGGGTCCTAAAACTCTGAGTGCAGATGGGTATGGCCACCAACTCCAGTGCCTTCCCCGGGACCGCCGGAGCCGTCGATGGCTCAGCCTTGAGGTCTTTCTTGAAGTTTAAGGGCCTTATCTTGGGATTTTTCGCCCCTTTTTTACCTTAATAGGAGGAGGGGGTACTAGAAAAGGGCTGTTTAGTATAACGGGGGAGCATCCCAAGTCTTATCCAGCTTGCATGTGAGTGGCTTGTTTGAGGAATTTCGGGGTTTGGAGTCGACAGTTTGAGGTTCAGGCCTCATGGATTTGTGTATGATGATTTAGGGATATATGGATTTGTGTATGATGATTTAGGGATATAGGGTTGGAGAGATGATGGCTTCATATGTATGGTTGGAGTGGGTGACGATGTCAGGTGCTTTCGGGCGTGGACTTGTGTGTAGGGTTTAGGGTTTAGGGTCAGAGCTTTTAAGGATCTGACAGTAAACCCGAAATTGATTGCATATACGGTTGCAGGGGTTTGGGCCCCTAAACCCTAAACCCTAAACCCTAAACCCATAAGCCCTAAGCCCTAAGCCCTAAAGCCCTAAACCCTAACCTTGCTGGAGTTTTGTTTCTTTGTAGGGGCTTACGACCCTCGAATCCCCTAAACCATGAACCTTGGGATGTTCCCCCTTATACTAGCAGTCCTTAATGGGGATTATAGTACCCCTGCTACAAATTCCCATTAAGGACTGTGAGTTATAAGGGGGGAACATCCCAACCCGAAACCGTCACCCGACTTCACGAAGAGTTTTTGTTAATGACCGATGTGGTTTCAGGCCCGCCCCAGAGCCCCAAGGCTCGAACGCGACGCAACCCTGAAACTGAAACCCTGAACCCCGAAGCCCCAAAACCTAGAAGTCCTGGGGTTTGGGGTTTGGGGTTTGGGGTTTGGGGTTTGGGGTGTAGGATTTAGGATTTTGGGTTTGGGGTTTGGGGTTCAGTGTTTGGGGTTTGGGGTTTGGAGTTTTGGGACCCTGAGAAGCCCTGGCAGATGCCCGGCTCGGGCGGCAATCCCAACTCCTTCGTGGGAGCAGGAGCAGCAGCCAGGCACTGAGAGCAAAGGTGACAAAGGTGGGAGTGAGAGAGGTCTAGGGTTTATGGTTGAGGGTTTAGGGTTGAAGGTTTTAGGGTTTAGGGTTTAGGGTTTGCAGGGAGTCTGGGGGAAGGGGGGGCTGTTGGTTTAGGCTGAAGGGTGTAGAGTTGTTGCCTGTCAACTGTCAGGTTGAGATCAGGCCACTACCAAGGTTGAGTCTGCTTTTTCAGGGTCATCTGTGTCCCTAAACCCTGCCCGCAGAGATTCCATGAGCTCAGGCCATGGGAAGCATGGGCATCAACGAGGCAGTGCTGCACACGCGTCTGAGGGGCGCTTCGGGTTTAGGACTTAGGGTTTAGGGTATTCAGCATATTTGATGTCTTAACGCTAGTTTTCTTGGGCAGATTTTTAGAAATGCCAATCCCAAGCAATGGTTATGAGTAGTGTGTTGCAACTTGGTTCGAAAAGAAGAACAGTTAGGAATGCCTGCCATGTGTGGAGTTAAGGACGTGTCGTCGGATTTCACCGACATGGTTCTCAGGTTCTCGTACCTTCTGGGTTTCGAGGGCCCTAATTAAACGCCTAAACGCCAGCAGTGAGATGGTGGCTCAGCTTTGACTGTTGAACAACTCAGTAGCGGCCAAAGGGTGTCAGCCGGTTTCTTGAGTTTCAGGGTTTAGCGACTTCGGGGTTTGCGGTCCGCGGCGACATCGTTGCTGACGAGCTTGTCTGCTGCGTCTGATTCTCTCCCCACTCAGACTGTTTTCCATTTTTTCCATTCAATTCGGTGCTGACTCTTCTCAGCCCTGAACCCATATCCCCCCTGGTGATTCATTTTATATTCCTGGTTATATAAAACCCAAGAGGATACTAAACAGATATTGTTTATTCAGGTTCTAAGGGGAGTAGTAGGAACCCGAAACCCTGAACCCTGCTTCACGCCATGCAAAGTGCGCAACGACCTGCCCTTGCAGTTGCACGAAGCGGCTTCTAAACCTGCCAGGCCCCCAATCAAACCCTATGCGAAACCTCAAACCCTGAACTAGAGAGGGCGGCTATCCAAAAACCCTAAACGCTAGACCTAAAGCCCTAAACCCTAAACCCTAAGCTCCAAAACCCGAAAGTCTCCCTGCAACCACCATCGCAGGCTTTGGCAGACGCAGCGATGAAAGAAGCGATTGCCTCGGCAGGGCTCAGGGTTCAGGGTTCAGGGTTCAGGGTTCAGGGTTCAGGGTTTAGGGTTTAGGGTTTAGGGTTTAGGGTTTAGGGTTTAGGGTTTAGGGTTTAGGGTTCATGGTTTACGGTTTCGGGTTTCGGGTTTTTCTCTCTGTAGTGTTCAGGGAAAAACCCCTTGCTAAACCCTAGGGGGCCCCGGATGCAGCCGGGATGTGCAGAGCACAGGCGCTTGGAGGGGTCAGGGTTTAAGGTGACCCCTGTCGAAGAGTTTGTGCCCTAAACCTTGAAACCAAAGCGCTAAGCCCTAAACCCTAAGCCCTAAACCCGAAAGACGAAGTTTGCATAGAATGCCCTTCAACACCCTGCACGGGGTTAGGGTTTAGGGTTGTAGAGCTTTGTGAGTTTAGCCAAGAGAGGGGAGTGGCCCAGACCTTGGGGGGGAGGGGTTTAGGGTTTAGGGTTTAGGGTGACCTTGGGGGGGGAGGGGGGTTGGCAAAGCTCCGTCGTATCTCTCGAAAAGTATTGTAGTTGTAAGACTACCAAATCGTGTTGGAGGCCGGACTTCAGAACATTAACGTATCTCAAAACTCACGCGCCTTAAGCTTCAGTGCAGTTTACCTGGGTTGAATAGAGCTAGCCAAACACAGACAAAAAGAGCACACAGGATGAGCCTTTCATGAACTTTCATGACTTTACGCACGAGTTCGATGAGAAGCTCGGTAAGCTCTATGAGGTTTAAGGCGCATGTGTAGCGAGGGGAATCAGTTTCGGTTTGCCAATCCCTCGGACCAACCGGGCAGCACTCAAGACCCAGAATCCCCCATCCCTCCCCATTCTGAAACCTCCCCCTGCGACCCAGGTCTGTGTCTACCGTATTCTGTGCGTTTATGCATACATATGAATATGGCTCGTATGAAAAAACGTGGGAAGCTCCTCCAGGGTAATTGGAGGTTCATGGTACTTATTGACCCATTGTAACTGTACTTAGAACTGTACTTCGGACCATCTTAGGAGCCTTAAGGGGCTTACAAGTGTGCTATAAGTACAGTCAAAACTGGTTAGTAAGTACCATGAACCTCCAAGTACAAGCCCTAAACCCTAAACCACCCTAAACCCTAAATTTCAGGCCTAGCGGCACGGGCCGGCCCCCGCCCCCCAAAGCACGAAACCTTGAACCTTGGCACTGTCTTCTCTTTCCCGTGTCTTTGTCCTCTCCTTCTCTCTGTCTCTCTTTCTCCTGCCTTCGCCCCCCCCCCCCCCCCCCCCCCCCCCCCCCCCCCCCCCCCCCCCCCCCCCCCCCCCCCCCCCCCCTCCCTCCCCCCCCCCCCCCCCCCCCCCCCCCCCCCCCCCCCCCCCCCCCCCCCCCCCCCCCCCCCCCCCCCCCCCCCCCCGCGCGCGCGCGCCGCGCGCGCGCGCGCGCACCCGCATCAGGAGCATCAGTGGGGTTGGTTTGGGGGCCTTAAAAGCATTCTATGCATGCGTTTTGCCTTCGAAAAACCTTCAGAAAACGCTGTAAACACGTGTTTTTGGGCTTGGGAAGCCTTTTGGGACCCAGGAAAGGGAGCATCATGAGCATCAGCGGCCTCCCAGGCCATCCAAAACCCCCTTAAACACGCCGATTGTATGTGCTTGAACGCTTGCGTGCCCACCAAACCCCCAAAAGCAAGATCCCGAATGCCCTTAAGGGCATTCGGGATCCTGCTGTTCGGGTGTTTTGTAGGCACGAAGCCGTTCGAGCGCGTAAAATGAGCGATTTTAGGGGCGTTTTTACGTGGACCCACAAAACACTCGGTATTTACGAGGTTTTCTGCTGTTGGAACCCCCCCCAAAACGAGCATCATGAGCATCAGCTGGGTCTCTGGGCCGTCGGCCCCGGAGGCCCACGAAGCCCATGAGAAACGATGGCTCGATGATGCGCCCGGACCCCCGCGCATCAGCAGCATCAGCAGACCCCCCCCCCGGACGTGGGTTTCGATGATGCGCACTTTGGAGGCGGGTCAAGGGCAACAGGGGTGGGGGTCGGAGGCACGCGTGAAAAACCTCATAAAAACACGGTATTTACGGTGATTTCAGCGTTTTTCAGCGTTTTTTACTGCCTTGGGGCCGCGGGCCAGGGCTGCTGATGCTCATGAGGCTCGCCTGGTTTTGGGCTTCCGGTACCCCCCCCAAACCTTGAAAAACGTGGTTTCGGCCTGGCGCGCGCCCCATGTGAAAAGCTAGGGCCGATGATGCGCGCCCGTGAGGGTTTAATGGGGTGCTGCGGGTGTTTTGTGGCCTCGGTTTTTCGTAAAAACCCATGGTTTTTACGAGGTTTTCGTGCTTTTCGCACCACCGCATGTTGCGTCCCCTTGGATGCCGTTTTGGAGGCCTCCCGAATTCGAAGGGCCCCACGCGAATTTGAAGCAATTTTGGGCGGGGTCGGCGGCTCGGGCGCTCGCCCCTTAAAGCTAGAGCTTTAGTGCGACGCGGGCTCCGCCCTGGACCACGCACGGCGCGGGGGCCGGATTTAAGAGCCTCCGGCTCAAGCCGCCGACCCCGCAGGAGAACAAGTTTAAGGTTGGGTGGGGGGGTGGGGGGGGGGCGGGGGAGGTGGGGGGGGTCGGGGCGGGGGCTCCAAAGAGGGGTTTTTTCCAAAAGCCCCTATGCCCTGTGCGAAAACGCCTACGGTCCATGAGTTTACGCGGTGTGGGTGGCCTGTTCCTCCACGGAAAAGCTGGCGGGGTACCCCCCCTAACCCCCCCCCCATAAACCCTAAGCCCTAAGCCCTAAACCCTAAACCCTAAACCCTAAACCCTAAACCTCCAAGTAAGCTTCAAGCCGATGAGCTGCCTATGCTGGAGTTGAAGTCCAAGCCCATGACAGCACCCCCAGTCCTTGGCGGGGTATTCGGGTCATGGGTAGTGCTACAGGATCTTTTCGGGTTTAGGGTTTAGGGTTTAGGGTTTAGGGTTTAGGGTTTAGGGTTTAGGGTTTAGGGTTTAGGGTTTAGGGTTTAGGGTTTAGGGTTTAGGGTTTAGGGTTGCAGAAGCACCAAAATCATTCCTCTGTAGCCACAATAGAAGGATACTTCAACTCATTGCCATTGCAGAGGCCCAGGGTTTAGGACAAACTCAGACCCTAAACCCCAAACCCTGGGTTTAGGGTTTAAGGAGTAGGCTTGAATGGCTTTTTCGGGGGCTTTAGGGACTCAAAGGCTTTTGGCTTTTGGGGTTTAGATTTTTGAGTTTGGTTTTAGGGTATAGGGTGCCCCTATCCTCGCATCTCTGAAAGCCCCCGGAGTAGCGAGCTTGACCAGTGAATGCTCGGACTTGAGACGCTGAACCCTAAACCCTAAACCCTAAACCCTAAACCCTAAACCCTAAACCCTAAACCCTAAAAGATCCAATCAACCATTAACTATCCCCAAAACCCTGAACCCTGTCACATGGTCTTGGCGAGCTAAGGCCATGGCACGCATGCACAGCTCGGGCGCAAGGGCCCCTGCGGGGGTTTAGGGTTTAGGGTTTAGGGTTAGGGTTTAGGGTTTAGGGTTAGGGTTAGGGTTGGAGGGGTGGGGGGGTTGGAGGTTCCCGCTACCTACCTGTTTTGCAGGCTTCTTTCAAAGGTTGTGGGTCGCAGAGTCTGGATCATCCTGCATGCAGATGCTGACCCAAACCCCAAACTTACTGTTTGTTTGGTAGGGAGTCAGGGAATCAGAGTCCCTGCACAGGATGTGGATATTCAGTTCCAAACCCTGAACCCTAAACCCTATACCCTATTAACCTAAACCCCAAAACCCTGAACCCTAAACCCACCGGCAGCCTTTCCCGCATCTTGGGCCAAGGCTATGCGCTGGTTTCCATTTCTCTTCCTCAGTCTCCAGCAGCTCTTCAATGTAGGCCCGGCTTCCGATCTGGATTTAGGGCTTAGGGTTTAGGGTTTAGGGTTTTTTAGGGTTTAGGGTTTAGGGTTTAGGGTTTAGGGTTTAGGGTTTAGGGTTTAGGGTGTCCTGGGCCTCTGTACGCTCAAGCTCGCCAGGGCGAGGTAAGCCCGAAACCCTGGCTTTAGAGGCTTAAGTAAGGTGGATCGAAGGGATGAGCGAATTAGATAAGCTGATGTCCCTCTGTAGATACCCTTCAATCAACCCCAAGCCCCAAACCGTATCTACCCTAAACCCTAAACCCTAAACCCTAAAGCCTAAAGCGTCCACTGCGCGCTTTGCATTCGTATCTTGGCTCAAAGCGTTTAAAGTTTAGGGTTTAGGGGTTAGGGTTTAGGGTTTGCTTGGGGTTTGGGGTTTGGGGTTTGGGGTTTGGGATTTGGGGTTTGGGGTTTGGGGTTTGGGATTTGGGGTTTGGGGTTTGGGGTTGAAGCTTCAGCCTCACACCCATGCCACGGCGTCAGGCCACTCCTACGTGCTCAGAAAGTTGGTGGTGCTCATGTGCCCCTTCCTCAAGATGCAGCAGGCCGCTGGCAGCAGTCCTCCCAGAAGCTTTTTCCAAGCCTGTCCCAGAGGGTCCCTATACCCCATGTTTCTGGTGTTCGGTCCCAGAAATCCGCAATCTCAAGGGTTTGTGAGAACCAGAAAAAGGGGGGGGGGGGGAGTATTTGGCTCAACCACATGGGAGTCTCACTTGGGGGGGGGGGGGTGGGGGGGCTGGCGTTTTCTCCTGAGAGACGACGTCCGCAGGCGCAGCACACGCCCATGTGGGTGTCGGCCTTATGAGTTCTGCGTGGGGGCTTTGGGTTTAGGGTTTAGGACTTAGGGTTAACCCTAAAACCCGAAACCAGAAACCCCAGACCCAAGACCTTTTCGTAAGCCCTACGCAGTGTGCGCCGCTTCACCCTGAGGCCCTGAGGGGTGAGCCGTTTCTATCCCAAAGCATGGGACTGACTGCAGGATTTAGGGGATTCAGGGTTTAGGGGATTTACGGTTTAGGGGATTTAGGGTTTAGGGTTTAGGGTTTAGGGTTTAGGGTTATTCACGGTTTAGGGAAACCCTCGACCCCTAGACCCTAAAACGCTTGGGCGAGACCCTTCATCTTACCAGCTCAGCAGATCGAACACTTTCAGAGACCAGTGAACCAATGCTCGGATGTAGGGTTTAGGGTTTAGGGTTTCGGGTTTAGGGTTTAGGGTTCAGGGTGTTTAGGGTTTAGGGTTTAGGGTTGAGGGTTGGGGCTTTCAGCTTTATAAGGTTTTGAGAACTCTGTAGGATTTTGGGTTTGGGGGGGCTTCGGTTTAGGGTGTAAAACCCCGCAGCCCAAGACAGATTTGAAACCCTTCTGTCGAAGCGATTGAGTCTCAACGAAATCCCTAAACCCGAAATCCTAAACGCCGAAAGCTCCCCAAATCCCCGCAGTAGCCTTAAACCCCTATCCCGAATCAGCTAGAAACAGCCCATTTTTCAGCCCCATCTCTAGATTCTTAAACTCCAGCCCTAAAAAGCCAAAACAGCCTGTTAAGCCCCATCCCAAGACAACCGCCTGCACCCCAAAAAAACCCAAACCCTAAACCCTAAACCCCAAACTCAAACCCTAAGCCCCAAACCCTAAACCCTAAACCCTAAGCCCCAAACCCTACACCCCAATCCCTAAACCCTAAACCCCAAACCCCAAACCCTAAATCCTAAACCCTAAACCCCAAACCCTAAACCCTAAAAACTCTGAGGAGGACCACTCGCCGGGCGACCTTAGCACTCCCCAGCGCGGTGTAGGGGCCGACGGCTTGAAGGCCTTCTTGAGAGTTCAGGTATTGGGGGGCTTTAGGGTTTAGGGTTTAGGGTTTAGGGTTTAGGGTGCAGGGTGCAGGGTGCAGGGTTTAGGGTTTAGGGTGCAGAGTTTAGAGGGTTTAGGGTTTAGAGAGTTTAGAGAGTTTAGGCTTTACGATTGGCCTGGCCCGCCGATTCGTATCGCCCCTTTGCTATGTGTTTGGTATCACCCTAAACCCTAAACCCTAAACCCTCCCAGAATCCCTTTTCAGTTCTTGAATTATACGTGGGTGGCTGTCAAAATCATCATCCCTCTTGGGGTACCCTTAACATTTGGTGCCGTAGTATTTTAGTAATTTAGGGATCCAAAAAGGGGCCATAATTTTGACAACCGCTTACATCCATTTCTCTTACTTGACTCAGCACTATCTACATGCGTGCTTCCAAAAGCATAAAGATCTGACTTCCTTATTTTAGTGTCTGTGAGGCGTACCTCCGAATCCGGAACTAAAGTGGCCGATGCCAGTAGTAGGCACAGATGCTGCCCTAAATCCTAAACCCTAAGCCCTAAAACCCTAAACCCTAAAACCCTAAACCCTAAACCCTAAACCCACGATTTTCCAGATTTTTGGGCGTTTCAAGTGCCGCTAGGGCTGGTGCTGGGGGCTTCTGCCCGGCGCTTTGCTGGTGCTTAAGAAGGGGCCACTGTCACTAAAGTGTGAGGAGGTCTTCAGGCGTTTCCAGGGCATGGGGATTAGGGTGGTTTAGGGTTTAGGGTTTAGGGTTTAGGGTTTAGGGTTTAGGGTTTAGGGCTATTCGCGTTCCCTGCAAGGGTCCCGGAGGCTGACCCGGTCAGGGGACCCCTGGTCGATCCCCTTGGAGGGCTAGACAAAAAACCGAAGTGCCCAAATACCTTCAAGTAGGGGTTTAGGGTTTAGGGGTTTAGGGGTTTAGGGGTTTAGGGGTTTAGGGGTTTAGGGGTTTAGGGGTTTAGGGGTTTAGGGGTTTAGGGGTTTAGGGTTTAGGGTTTAGGGGTTTAGGCTTTGAGGGGTGTAGGGGTTTAGGGCAATTAGGGGGTGTAGGGGTTTAGGGGTTGAGGGCTTGGGGTTTTAGGGTTTGAGCGCTTGGGGTTTAGGGTTTAGGGGCTCAGGGTTTAGGGAGTGTTCCCAGTAAAGTGCATTTTGTCAGGATGCCTTCTTCAGATGTTATTCATATACAGCTAAGTTTGTTGTCCAAACACTTTATATATGTTTTGTGTGAGCGTGGGGGGGTTTAATGGTGATTTCCTTACGCGCTCTCTCAAAAAAGGTATGCTTTGTTCGGGCTACAGGTAGGGTTGAGGGCGATGTGGTGCTTATAAGGGTTTCTGGGGTTTAGTGCTCAAGGTTTGAGACGTTTAGGGGTTAGGTGTTTAGTCTGTTCGGGATACAAGGCTTAGACCGTTGCAGGCTCAGAGCAAAGCTACCCCTAAAGCCTACCCTACCCCCCGCTTTTGCCAGCCTTGGTAGAATGCGATTAGGGTTTAGGGTTTAGGGTTTAGGGTTTAGGGTTTAGGGTCGGTGCTTCTTCGGGTTTAGGGTTTACTACAGTTACGGGCAGGCTCAGAAGGGCCCAAGGTTTGGTGATCGGTACTGTACACCGGAAGCTCAAACCCCATAAATCCTAAACCCCTGAAGCTTTTAAATCATATTTAGGATTTAGGGTTTAGGGCTTCCCTAAACCCTAAACCCTAAACCCTAAACCCTAAACCCTAAACCCTTTAGGGTTATATAGCAGTGGGTGGGAGCCCCTCTGTTGTTGGAGGTGGATGTGGATCAGCTGGAAGCTCAGTTCCGCACCTTCCTGGTTTGTATGGAATGGGTTCAGGGTGGAGGGTTTGGGGGGCCTGGGGTTTAGGGTTTAGGGTTTAGGGTTTAGGGTTTAGGGGTTGGGGTTCAATATTGCACTTCCCCCGGCTCGGCGCCCCGGCTCGGCCCCCCCGCTTAACTGCAGTATGCCAAAGACTCAGCAGCTGAGTGATCACACTTTACACTTTTTTGGGATACTATAATCCCCTGTAGAACTGAAAGTGTGCACCTGTGGGGGGCTTTTAAAGTCAGCAACTAAGAAGACCACGCGGCCTCGACTTCACGGATCACGGGGAAAGGTTGCTATGGAGGGGACCAGGCCCATGCTCTCTCATGCTCTGCCACGGCCTACATGACTGCCTGGATGCAGAGTCTGCAAACATCACATTGCCTGGGTTTAGGGTTTAGGGTTTAGGGTTATTACCTACTGTTGCAAGAAGAGTCTGGATCGGGATCAGGCCCATCTGAATCCTCAGCCCCAAACCGTCCCAGGCCAGATCTCTACATCCCCGTCATGTCCTACGTCACCTACGTGCTCATCTTCGGCTTGCGTTGGCCTTTGCGTTTAGGGTTTACGGTTTAGGGTTTAGGGTTTTAGGGTTTAGGGTTTAGGGTTTAGGGTTTAGGGTTTTAGGGTTTAGGGTGTTTAGGGTTTAGGGTTTAGGGTTAGGGCGCTTAATATTAGAAGCTGCCACTGTTCGACCAAACTCTGTGGCCATGGCCGGGCTTGTTGTGTGAAGACTATAGACTACTTCTGGGAGGTGAGGGTTTAGGGTTTAGGGTTGAGGAGGTTGAGGAGGTTGAGGAGGTTGAGGAGGTTGAGGAGGTTGAGGAGGTTGAGGAGGTTGAGGAGGTTGAGGAGGTTAGGATTAGGGTTATAGGGTTGAGGGTTTAGGATTCAGTGGGGGTAGTGCTGCCCTCTGGTCCCCCGAGATGCACAGTCGACGTTCTGGATCAGAGTGCTGGGCTCAAGCAGCCCGGATCCGGCACTCATAGGGTTTAGGGTTTAGGGTTTAGGTTTTTTCGGCTTCCAAAATGGTCTATTGAGCTGTCCCCAAGGGTCCCCAAAAGACTCCTAAAAGCATCCTAAAGCCCAAGACTACTCATTACCTCCAGGGCCGATGCTTCCTTGGTTTATATTCAACTCCGAAAGTGAGGTTGTGGCATTCTGTTATGAGCCCCAAAGCCCCACCTAAACCCCTAAACCCCTAAACCCCTAAACCCTATACCCTAAACCCTAAACCCTAAACCCTAAACCCTAAACCCTAAACCGCAAGCCCTACTTATCTCCCCCTGTGGCACTGACATGCTGGTGCTGCCAGTCCCTGCGGCGCCATGGCTGGCATCGCCCAGTCCGCGAGCACCTTGCTCCCGGCCTGCGTCTTTGAAGGTAGGGTTTAGGGTTTAGGGTTTAGGGTTTAGGGTTTAGGGTTTAGGGTTTAGGGTTTAGGGTTCAGGGTTCAGGGTTCAGGGTTTAGGGTTTAGGGTTCAGGGTTCAGGGTTAGGGCTGCCTCGAGCCCTACAGTCCTGAGCCTTTCGGGGCTTTCTTGCTCATAAGCACCCTCAACCCTAAACTCCTAAACCCTGAAGCCTGAACCCTAATCCCTACACCCTCAACCCTAAACCCTAAACCCTAAACCCTAAACCCTACTTTGAAGTTGCAGGTGGCGAGCTCCCTTGCGTTGTCCCTGGCTGCATGGCGCTTCGCGTCCCCGCCGAGAGCAAGATCAAAGGCTGGGTTCGGTTCAGCGTTTAGGGTTTAGGGTTTAGGGTTTAGGGTTTAGGGTTTAGGGTTAGTAGTTTTAGGGTTCAGTTCAGTTCAGGGTTTGGCTACAGGAGACTCTGCAGGAAGCGTAACTAGTCCTGAAGCTCAAAAAGGAACCTGTGCACGTCATACATGTTAAACCCTAAACCCTAAACCCTAAACCCTAAACCCTAAACCCTAAACCCTAAACCCTAAACCCTAAACCCTAAGCCTTAAGCCCTAAGCCCTAAACCCTAAACCCTAAACCCTGCCCATTTGAAAGACTCTGGAGCTTTGGGGGATCCTGCACGCCATGTCCCTTTCCAGCGCCCTAAACCCTAAACCCTAAACCCTAAACCCTAAACCCTAAACCCTAAACCCTAAACCCTAAACCCTAAACCCTAAACCCTAAACCCCAAACCCTAAACCCTAAACCCTAAACCATCGGGATGGTAATTATTTGACCTTGGCAGGCTCTGGCAGGGCTGAGCCTTAGAAAGGGAGCCCTCGTATCTGTAAACCCTATCCACGGTTTAGGGTTTAGGGTTCAGGGTTTGGGGTTTAGGGTTTAGGGTTCAGCAGCTCCGGGTCGAGCAAAAACATTAAGAAATAAAAGTTTGCATTTTTCATCAGCAAGCCCTCAACCTCACTCTGTCATGGACCATCCTACCCACGAACCATTGCATCGGCCGCAGGGGGGGAGGGGGAGGGGGAGGGGAGGGGAGGGGGGAGGGGGGGGAGGGGGGGGGGGGGGGGGGGGAAGGGAGAAATGGCCCTCAGCCACGACGAAATGGCCCTTAGCACCCAGCAAATGGCCCTTAGCGACCAAGAAATGGCCCTTAGCGAAGAAATTGCCCTTAGCCACGAAGGTGTGTAGGGTTTAAATAAATAAATAAATATATATATATATATAGTGGGAGAGGGTTTAGCCTAAATCCAACCGCGCGACGCCTTAGAACGCTGGCCTCAGGCGACGCTCCGCGTGTTCTTGGTGCCAGCCGGCTCCGACTTCCACGGGGTAGAGGCTTATGAGGGCCTAAAGCCCTAAATGCCGGTTTAGGGTTTAGGGTTTAGGGTTGAGGGTTTAGGGTTTAATGTTGCACTGTCTTTAGTATGGGGCCCCCCCCCACCCCAAACAAATTTGGACCCTCTATAAACGCGTGGCCCGGCGACCCGCCCAAACAAATTGGGGGGGGGGGGGGGAACCGCCCTCAGGGCCTCAAGCCTTTAGGACCTCAAGGCCTGAAGCTTTCCAGCCTTTAAGATTCCTGGAGCCCAAGGCCCTCGGGGCCTCAAGCCTTACTGCGTAAGCCCTTAACCCAAAACACAAACCCTCAAAAAAAAATCATCCGAAAAAAACTTGGTATTATAGAGGGTAGCCAGACAAACTTACTAAAAACAGTCTGACCGGCCCGTGGGCTACCTATCACAAAATTTGTTTGGGGCCTCGTTTCGTAATGAATTTCCATTAGGCTTTACATGGGATTGGCCGGGCTTAGATTTCTGGATTCTCCGCGCTCTGGCTCTTTAAGGTTCCTGGAGCCCAAGCCCTCAGGGCTTCAAGCCTTACTGCGAAAGCTCTTAACCCAAAACACAAACCCTTAAAAAAAAAAAAACACGTCCGGAAAAAAACTTGTGATAATAGCGGGTACCCTGAACAAACTCGGTTCGCAGAATAAATTTTCGAAACTTGTGATTATAGACCCTCCTTATACTAAAGTCAGTCCAACATTAGGAACCTCGAAGCCCCTAAACCTAAGAAACCTTTGGGAGCAGGTGCCGGATAGGCACATCGGGGCAGGGGGTTTCTGGCAAGAGGCCTACTCAACCCCCAAGCCTTGATTTTCGGTGGTTCGGGTTTAGGGTTTAGGGTTTAGGGTTCAGGGTTTAGGGTTTAGGGGTTTTGAGTGTTGCTCTGGTTAGGGCTATGCGAGGAGGAACCTCAATCAACCCAAGTCCCTGGCCAGACCCTAAAAAACACCAACGCCGTCGATGTTAAACCCCAAACCAGACAGACCCTAAATCCCTAAACCCTAAACCCTAAACCCCAAGCCCTAACGCCCCTGTGAGGTCATTGACACGCCTGGACGTGGCAAAGGACTTGCCACAACCAAAGCAGTTCCGGCAGGCCCCGCTGTTCTTTGCTGCAAGGAAGGGGTCCTCGGGGTTTGGGGTTCTGAATTTAGGGGTCGGAAGAACTAATAGTATTCCCTTACAGTCCCTTTGTAATTATGCTAGAAGACTCCCCCAAAACCCTGTTCTAATCATTAAGGCCCCCATATTAGGCAAGCTGATATACCATGCGCCTTCGAATGCAGCCTAGATGTACGACCCCAAGCCCAAATTTCAAAGCCGCTCCTACATCCTAACCTCCTAACCCGCAAACCCTTATGACCCCAAAACATCCCTAAACCCTGAACCCTGAACCCTAAACCCTAAAAATCTAAGCCCTAAACCCCCCCCCCCCCCCCCCCAAACAAAAAAAAAAACCTAAACCCTAAACCCTAAGCCCTAAACCCTAAACCCGAAACCCGAAACCCGAAACCCGAAACCCGAAACCCTAAACCCTACACCCTAAAGCCTAAACCCTAAACCCTAAACCCTAAACCCTAAACCCTAAACCCTAAACCCTAAACCCTAAACCCTAAACCCTAAACCCTAAACCCTAAACCCTAAACCCTAAACCCTAAACCCTAAACCCTAAACCCTAAACCCTAAACCCGAACCCGAAAATCCAGCAGGAGGCGAGATCTTGGCCGAGGCCCCCCTCTTTGTGAAGCCACAGGGCTGGTCCACCAGGAGGCAGGTTTAGGGTTTAGGGTTTAGGGTTTAGGGTTTAGGGTTGAAAGTCACCTAGTGGGAGGACTGAAGGTCGTAGTAGCTGGTACTCAAGCTGTGGTGCGGGGACGCCGGGGAGCTCGATAGTGGTGCGGCGTAGCGGCACAAATGCTAACTCCTTTTTGGCACTCAGTCCCCTTGGTGCTGCGTAGCTGCGACATCTGTGTGTCAGTTTGGAGCAGCACAAGTGGTTTCACTTGCATCAGCTCCTCCCCCCTCCTCTTCTTGATTCTTATCTCTAACCCGTAATTCAGTACCCTCGAGAGGTTGCATCCCTTCGGCCTTTCTGCGGCGAGCGGATCTCATGTAGGGGTCCTCGACGATCTTCCAAAAATGCCCCATTTGGTAGTAGAGCTCCAGTTCGGATGATCTCCCCATTTTTGTCAGTCCATTCGCCAACTGTGCCTCGGAATGCACCCACCTGACTCGCAGCTCGATCGAGGTTCGCTTCTCCGCGCCCTTGATGACGATCACTTCCGTCTTTAATTTGTCAAAGACGTTTCTGGAGTCCGTGACCAAACATCCTGTGATCTTGTTCACGCTGCTCACGGCGTCTCGAGGGTCCACGTTGCCGTACTCCAGTTCGCTCCACTGGTACCTGGCAAAGAAGAGGGCGTCTTCGCCGTTGACAGCTGCTTGTGCTTCAGCTGTGCCTGGCGAGCGACAGGTCCTGTCAATGCGTGACGAGTGCCACGCCATCGGGCTCACTGCCCCCCAAGGCTCCCTCCCGCATCTGAGTTGGCCCGAGACCAATGAAGATTCCCTGGGTGCTCCCGCCATCCACTCGATTCTGGCTTCCTGCATCTACCCAGCCATACATGGTGAGGTCCTGCCCCGGTTCGAAGGCATGTATGATCATCTGATGGTCCCTCTTCGCTCGGACGTGCGACAGGAGGATGTTCGCCTTGACGATGGTCTCCACCGTGCTCTTTCCGACCTCTGATAGGAGTAGCCCTACCTCTGCTGAGGCGTGCGGCGCTGTCTGCTGGGCCAACCAGCTGACTCCTCCCAGTAAGGCCCTCAAGCTGGTCTTCTCCCGTTCCGTCGTGGCCTCCTTTCTCTCACGCTTCCGGGTTGCACTCAGAGGGATCTCCTTCAGGTTGTCGATGTATTGCTCCTGGGATAACACAAAGTTGGGCCCCTGTTTACGGATTCGGACACCACATTGCACGAAGTCATTGCGCTCCCAGTCTCCCCATCTGAACTTCGCCTGTATCTTCTGGAGTATCTCTTGCCAGCCGGCATCATCATCACGACCTCCAAATATAAAATCATCAACATGACTTGATATCATGCCTCTGAGATGTCCTTCAACCCTCCACACCCACGTACACGCATCACTCCACGTTTGAGTGAGTCCGAGGGAAGCGAAGAAATCTGCAACTGAGCGAAACCACTGCAACGGGGCGTCTACAAGCCCATAGCAGGCTTTGCGCAAGCGTGTGATGCTTCCGCGAGGAACCCCCATAGCATCACAAATTTCATCGCAAGGAACACAATGCAGCAACTCCTCATACTCCTTGCCTTGTAAAAATGCCCCCGAGACGTCCCCTTTGTAAAGGGTCCAGGAGCGATTCGAGGCTTGTTGTATGATCATTTGCCGCGATTGTCTCGTCATGACAGGGGCAGTGGTTGGTCTGTGTTCGTAGGACGGATCCTGATATCCTAACAACACACCCCGTGCCTTGGCCTTGAAGGTTCCATCCTCCTTCAGCTTCCATGTTAAACACCACCTCATCCCAATCGCTTGTTGTCGGCTTGGCTTGAGATGATCCGGCAATGCTTCGAAGGCCTGGGCCGCGATGAAGTTCTTGACCTCCACCGCCTTTGCTCCCGCAAAGGCCTGCCTTTCTTGTGGTGTCATGTGCTTCTCTGAGACTTCGATGGCTCGTCGTTTGAGGTTGTTCACCATGTACGCCTCCATATTGGCGACCGCCTGCTTCCAACCTCTGGCATTGTCCGGCATGTCCACTTCAATCTCCACGCCCGCTTGCGGATCTTGCCAGTAAGCCTGCTCTCCGATGTACCACGCCGTCTCGGAGATGTGGTCTTGCCAGCGTGCTCCTTTCTCCTGGAACATGATCTCGGGTGGTCCTTTCTGAGTTCTTCTCCGCGAAGTCGTGTTCGTTGGTCGCTGGTGTTCATCGGGAATGAGTTCCTCATCCTCCGAATCTTCACGCGGGTGTTCTCGCTTAGGGAGCCGCCTGCGTTGATCACTTTCGCCTCCATGAAGGTCGTGACGCCGTACGGGAGGCATCTCTTCATCCACATCTTGTGCTCTTCGCCACTCTGCCTCTTCTGGTTGCATGCCACTGACGTCCTCGTACTGGTTCCCTCCTAACTGCTCTGCCATCTTGGTGAACGTCCAGGGGTTGGCTTCGCCTCCGACACGGCCTCCAGTAGTTCTTCTCGCTCTGAAGCTGGTCGAAGTTGTTCCACACACGCCTTCACAAGAAGGCGTCCACGCACTAGCCACACGATTGAGCTTTGCGTGGTTTCTGTTGGGCCACAAGGTCGTCGTTCCACTGCCAGAACTCTAGCGGGGCCAACAAACCGTCCTTGTTTCGCACCAGGCAACTTCTTGTTCTTTGCTTCTTGGACTCTCCAGTAGTAGACCAGGTCCCCCCCGGCTGATACTGCAGGTTTTTGCGGCTCCGGGAGTTTGCCGCCTTGACCAGTCGTCGCTGTGCTATCCATTCCGCCAGTGCCTTCTCCGCTTCTTGTCTCTGCCGCACTGCTCGTTGGAACTCGCCATTTGGGTTCTCCACCAGCAATTCTGGCGGCACGGCCGGTGTCGACACATCGATGCGCCCCGACTCATCAGGCGACTGTCCTAACACATGCTGCGTGGGGGAGAACCCTCTAACCAAATCCCGCTGGTTGAACGTGCGGACGGCGGTGGATAGAGCCTCCTCAGGTTCGATGGACTCATCATCTGCTACTAGTTTATCCATCACTTCCTTCAGGCCTTGAACAGCTTGCTCGCATACGCCGATTTTCCAGTGTGCCTCCCCAGGCACTAGGTCCAAGAACACCCCATTCCTTTCGCAATGCAGCTCTACAGCCTTGCTGCGGAAATTCCCAGCTGGGTCCAGCCGGAGAGTTCTGGGCTGTCCGAAGATTTGGCTCCAGCCCTCATCTAGATACTGCACACAGGCGGCACCCGTGGGCTGCTGTTTCTTTCCCCTAGACAAGATCTTAGCAACTCGGAAACGAGACCCCTCATCGATGACACACATGAACTGCACATGTTCCCCTTTTCCGGCGTGGAACCAATGTCCCACATCCGCTGACACAGTGTGGAATTTAGGGGGAAGGGGTTCCAGAGAGGCAACATGTCTGGGCTGCAACTTCTGTCTCTCTTCACAAATGGAACATCTGAACTGTTCAGCCATGCGTATGACCTCTGGCTTGGCACCACGGCGTTTTAGAGCAGAGACCAAGTGTTTCGTTGAGCAGTGCCCTGTGGCGGCGTGTAGTTTGTAGAGCTGTCGCTTGATGTGTTCCTGTTCCCTTCCTGTGGTGTCGTCCCTTTTTGGTACGTGTGAAACACACGTCATGTTGGCGGGCCGTGGCGGTGGCCGGAAGCCGAGACGAACCAACACTTCTCTCTCCTCGGCGTTATACGTGTGTGTAGCTCTACTGACATACGCGGCCAGCACAATACTAGCTCCCGTCCATGGTTCCGTTCCATGCCAGTCTTTTGAAGAAAACTTAACCACTCGCCTCTTAGTTTCCAGGACCCCTTAGTCTTTTCCCCATTTCCCGTGGTCCGTATCGCTTCACCCTGCTGTCCCGCCACCCACAGGCCTCCTCCCGTGTAATTAGTCACCGAAACCTAACAGGAGATTTTTGTACTCAGCCATGTTGTTCACGTCCCTGTGGATCTTCATGTGGTTATTTATACTTATCGCAATAGAGGTCCAATGCTCGGAGGGTCCGACGTGACGGCGTAAGAACTTGTTCCGGTACTGGGTGCATTTCGGGAATTCCGTGGTCCTCCTGGTGACCCCCTGGTGACCGCCTCTGGCGTACCCCCCGAACACAAAATACCCCGTCTTTTTCATCTTCACTGAGCCCCTCCTGCCCGGCTGACTTCCCTCTGGCATCAGAACAGCCAGTTGTTCAGCAGCCTCAAAGCTGAAATCGCCTTGCCTACTTAGTTGGCTGGCCACCTCCTCCGCCTGTCTCAAGGCCTCCTGGCTCCAATGCGCTTCCTCCTCCTCTTCTTCTTCTTCTCCCTCAGCACCATTCTCTCCCTCTCTCTCTCCCTCACTCCACAGCGAAGCACTTTGAACACAATGTCCACATGTCTGTTGTCTGCTTGCAAGGTGTGGTTCTTCGCAACTGCACGCTGATCCTAATCCAAACAACACAGGCACTGAGGTGTGACCCTGGCACTCTTCAATCACTTGTGCATGATTCAACTCCTGACACAACACTCTCGTGGCGCGTTGGGCATATTCAGTCGTGTAGCGAGCACTAGCAGCGGCATCCTTCCCCTCACAGCGCCCGTGACGATATCCCGAATCACACCCACACAGCCCTTGCGTGTACGTGGCCAGTCGCACGTGTGAAGTGGCCAGTTTCCACCCCTTTTTCATGAGTTGGCCGTCTTGTGTGCTCCTAAGCCCCACCGTGCATCCATGTGTGACGGCTGTGTACAGCCCCAGGTCCCGTATCATCTTCTGAACCCATGGAATTCTCCAAGCATCACATTTCTCCGACCACTCCCAGACAACATGGCACCCTAGCTGCAAGGCGTGTCGAAGGACAATGCTGGCACCTACGTATATGCGCTGTGCATGTTGTCGCTTCTTTTGGAGTTCTGTTTCCTGCTCAGCTGTGCGTGCGTTGGTTCTTTGAAGGGGAGAAAACGGTCCACAAGGTGTGGCAAACCATACAGTTCGAGGACGCTCCTGTGAAACACGTGTCAGAGCGAACCGAATGCCCTCTTTGGTGCTCAGATCAGCACCATTCCACACAGAAAGTCTACTAGTCGCACCCTCGTCTCCGACGTGGTTTCGCACAGCCTGCCCTAGTATGCTATCCGGTTCACATGCAATTTCCATTAGGACAGGTCTACCTCTACCAACTACACTCTGGAAAATCTCAGGAACCACTCCGTGGCTCAAATGTTCGATGCGGCTAGCCTGATTGGCACTCAGTTCCTTCATCACGCCGTCGACAGCAGCGCTCCCCGTCGGCGGCTCCATCATCATGGGCTGTGCACCACCTTGAAGCTGCTCTCCGTCTCTGTGGCCTCCGACCCCTCGAACGTCGTTCCTCGGCTCGCCTCCTTCTTCCGAGGACGTTCGCCCCGCAGCTCGGAGATCTCCTGCTGCAGGTTCTGGACCATGTGGGAGAGGTCCTGAATCGCCTTCGCCTGCGTCAATTGATGCGGTGGTTCTTCTTCGGGTCCATCCACTTTGCGGGCTCTCGTTGAGACGTATCCACGTCCCGGTGAGGTTCTTGGTTCTGTCGAGCCACTGGCCCGAGTCGCGGTCCCCACTGGATTCTGACGTAGCCATTTGGCCAGCCTGCGAAGTCGGGGATCCACCTCGGCCTCTTCCGTGTCCATCTTGAGAACCCATTCCCTGTAGCTTGGAAACCTCTCGTTGATGTCGCTGTACTGGAGATCGGCATGCTTCCCGAAGCCCACATCGTCTTCGGCTTCGGGGTTCACATTGTTCCGGGCCCACACCACAGCCATGTTCTCCAACTTGCCGCTGGTCTCGTTGCCCGTCACCATGAGGTGCATGTCGTTCTCGCACAGGCGTCGAAGCTCGCTCTTCCGCTGTGAGGCCTGGTTGATCACCTGCATCCACTGCTTCAATGTCCGCTCCGCGGCTGGGATCTCCACCACCTTCCGAGTTCGTTGTGTTTCTCCCATCTCTGGCTTCAGCTCGAGGATCCTTTGGCGTAATTCGGTCATGTTCCATCTCCGTGGCGGCTTCTCTCCCATCTCGACAAGCATGTTCACCAGCTGCTGCTTCTTGAGGGAGTACAGCGACATGTTGGTGCTCGTCGGGATGCGAAGGGGAATACACTCGAACTTCACGGCCACTAGGATGGTGGGAAGGTACTCGGCAATTCTCTCTCAGGTACTGATTTTCAACCCTACAACACCTAGCATCGTCATTAACCCGACTAGAATCAAGAAGAGGAGTTCCTACAGACTGGTCACCAGTCAAAAACCCTAGGCCTGACTGCACATTTCCTCGCCCCTTCCGAAACCTCTCAGGCTCAGGTCCCAGAAGGAGTTGTCCCTAGGCCTCGGCTACGAAGGCCTTCAAATCTGGCACTGGCTCCTTGGTTTTCAAGGCGCCGTCAAAAAGATCTTCTACAAGTGGTAGCAACTGGTGGCCGGTCTGCGAGCGCCTCACCGGAATGACCTTCTGCGCGTCGAGATGCCGGAAGACCACCAGGTCATTCGCAAAATCCACCAGCGCGCCCATCGCCCGAAGCGATGACACCGAGAGCAGGATTGGCCCCTCGCCTTGGTCCAAGGCGTGCACCTTCAACCGGCCCTCCTGGTCTCCTGCACGAATGCCAAGCTCCACGGTGCTCGCGCACCGGTTCTCTGAGGAATTTCCGAAAGAGAACATCGGCCTCGTAGCAGTATCCACTTCGAGAAGACGCGAGCTGCCATATCGAGTCTGGTTGATGTCCATCACTGCCTGCAACGCCTTGATGCTGCCCAGCGTCTTGGTAGCCCCGCCGTCCAGAACGCAGTAGCCCTTCTTGATCGCCTGCTGGGTGGTCATCTGGCCCTCCTGTTCCATGGCGGACAGGGCTGCCTCCTGGTAGCAGATGAAGGGGGCACTCTCCGATTCCTCCTGCTCGACCAACTGTGCTTGTTGCGCGCTTTGGGCAATTGGCCGCTCTGTGTCCGACTTGTCCACATTTCAGACACGTCATCCGGCTATCATCAGGAGGCCCCAGGGTGGTCTTCTTGTGGTCCTTGTTGTTCCTCCATGGACTGGAGGCCCCGAGGTTCGCAGCTCTTGCTCCTCCGCTGCTGCCACTCGTCTTGAAGTACTGTCTTGACGTTCGGACTTGGTGCTGTCGGGTACGAGCTTCTCGGAGCGTCCTTTTTCCCTTCTCGATCGCGGCCATCGCTTGTTGAACTTCATCTTCGGCCTCGTTCATCAAGATCTGTTCCTCCACGGTGAGGTCCTCCATCCCGTAGATGCCTTCGAGCTCCTCGTCGGGGAGGTCGCCGTCGTCGATCTCGTCGCCCAGGAAGCCTCCTTGAGCACGATGGTTGCCGTCTCGTCTCCTGAGACTGCCTTCATCCCACTGATTCCTCAGCTCTTGAGCGATCTTGGTCACACTGTAGTCTCCTTGAACCGCGGTGTGCACCAGGTTCCTTTCCGTGGGCGAGAGTCCGGCATCATTAAGGAGGAACCAGCCCTGGACGAAGTCCGGCAGGATCTCCACGTCATCTCCTGTGGTTGCTGCCCTTGACCCCCATGGCTCCGATCGTGTCCATGTCGCGTTCCACCAACGACCACTCCAGTAGTTTCGACCCCAGGAGGAGTTGGTCCACGCCCGCCATGGGTCTGGCTCTGGCCCGTCTTCCGTGACGACATCTGGTTCTTCTTGTCGTTCTCCTTCGACCTGAGCCGCCGTCTCTGCGGCCGTCGATCCATCCGTGTCTGCGCCCCAGCTCGTCCTGCGACTCCAGGTGGATGGCTCCTCGCGTGTCCATGTCATGCTTCCGCTGTGCGTCGGTTTCCGTCCTCGTTGTACTCGTCTAAGAGCTTGTTGTGCCCGGTAGTATGTCTCGGTCTTCCTCACGATGTAGTCCCCCATGGTCTCACCCGTCTTCCGACGACTGCCACGGAAGTAGCGATTGAGGAAGTCGGCCACCTCGGACACCTGCGGTTTCCCCATGCTCTGTCTCAACGCATTCAGCAGTTCCTGGACGCCACCGACGTAGCTCACCCAGTTTGCTGGCTTCCCGGCAATCACCTTCCGCGCGGTCCCTTGGAGCTCCGCGATGATGCGGGGTGCCACCATGTAGTGCTTGTGATACTCCACCGACTGCTCATACATCAAGCAGCGCTCCTCAAAGTCCTGGAAGTTGCCGGGCTCTCCGTCCCACCGAGGGACTCCATCCGCACTCCGCTGATTGCCTCCCGCATTGGTTGACATTCTGATCCGCCGTGGCCTAGCGACGGCGGCCTCTTTGCCCTGGACAAGCCCGTCCTGCCTCCGCAGGATCAGGCTCCGCTACCGTGAAAGTCACCTAGTGGGAGGACTGAAGGTCGTAGTAACTGGTACTCAAGCTGTGGTGCGGGGACGCCGGGGAGCTCGATAGTGGTGCGGCGTAGCGGCACAAATGCTAACTCCTTTTTGGCACTCAATCCCCTTGGTGCTGCGTAGCTGCGACATCTGTGTGTCAGTTTGGAGCAGCACAAGTGGTTTCACTTGCAAGGGTTTAGGGTTTAGGGTTTAGGGTTTAGGGTTTAGGGTTTGGCGTTGGGGGTTGGGGGTTGGGGGTGGGGTTTGGGGTTTGGGGTCCCTTTGCCGTTTGGGGGGGTCCGTGCTCGGTGTGCTCTGTGGGCTTCGGTTGCGGTATCGGGGCTAAACCCTAAACTCTAAGCCCTACAAGCCCGAAACCCTATGAAACTATAAACCCTACCTGCTGGGTGCTCCCCGACAGGCTGGCAATACAGCTGCAGAACATCTCAGAGGAATGCCGCGCAAGGCGCGGAGCTGTTGCGCACCACGGAAACCCTAAGCCCTAAGCCCTAAACCCTAAACGCTAAACCCTAAACCCTAAACAGGGTTTAGGAACGTGTGTGTGTGTGAGAGAGAGAGAGAGCGAGATCGTGCGAACGTGAGACAGGCTGCTGGAGCTCAGCCAATCTCCCAAGACCGGCTTTGCTGACGAGGAGCTCTGTTTAGGGTTTAGGGTTTAGGGTTGAGGGCTTTAGGGTCCCACTGAACTCTGCTTACAGTTGGGTTTAGAATTTGTAGGGTTTCGAATGTATGGTTTAGGGATTAGGGTTGCTTAGGGCTGTTTAGTGTTTAGGGTTTAGGGCTGTTTGGGGTTTAGTGTTCGGGGTTTAGGGATGAGGGTTTAGGGTTGAGGGTTTAGGGTTGAGGGTCTATAGGGTTTAGGGTGGAGGGTTTGGGCCCGATGACATCGAAGCCGGGGCCATTGATCAATGAAGTAGAAACTTACTGGTTTTTGGTTTGGGCTGAAGCCATGAGGTACAAACCCTGAGCCTCCTCCAAACCCGCAGGCGCTTCTGCCGATACTCTATGGCCCTATGTGTTACCTCAAAGGTCCGCTAACCCTAAACCCTAAACCCTAAAACCCTAAAACCCTAAAACCCTAAACCCCTAAAACCCTAAAACCCTAAAACCCTAAAACCCTAAAACCCTAAAACCCTAAAACCCTAAAACCCTAAAACCCTAAAACCCTAAAACCCTAAAACCCTAAAACCCTAAAACCCTAAAACCCCCTAAAACCCTAAAACCCTAAAAACCCTAAAACCCTAAAACCCTAAAACCCTAAACCCTAAACCCTAAACCCTAAAGCCCTAAACCCTAAACCCTGACCCTAAACCCTAAACCCTAAACCCTAAACCCAAAACCCTAAACCCTAAACCCTAAACCCCTAAACCCTAAACCCTAAACCCTAAACCCTAAACCCTAAACCCTAAACCCTAAACCCTAAACCCTAAACCCTAAACCCTAAACCCTAAACCCTAAACCCTACCCTCAAGGACCAAGGGGATGGTGCAGATGGGGCGCTGCTCAGAGTGTTGCCTGGCAGTTGAGGATTTTAGGGGTTTAGGGTTTTAGGGTCTAGGGTTTAGGGTTTTAGGGTTTTTAGTGTTTCAGGATTTAGGAGTTTAGCATTTTTGGGTTTGAGGGTTTAGGGGGTTGCCTGGCACAGTTGTAGGTTTGAAAGGTTTTTTTTACGCAGCAAAGGAGGGTTTTATAGGAGTTAGGCTTTAGGGCTTGAAGGGTTTTGGAGCTTTAGTTGTGTGGGGGTTGGGACGGTTGGGAATTGAGGATTGGCGGTTTAGGGTCTTCGGACTCAGGGGCTTTGGGTTCTGGGATTCTACCTCGGACCCCTAAGGTTGTAATCTTGGGTATGGTTCACCCTGTTGAAAGACCCGTGCGAGCCTTAAGGCTTACTGGGGTTTAAGGTCAGTTTGTGTCAATTCGGTCCTGGCTTTAACATGCGAGGTTTCCGAGAAGTAGGGATTTTCGTCTCCAGTGGAGTTCCAGCTTACAATCAACATGTTCTTCGCAAGGTTCTGGGTTGGGGTTTGGGGCATGGGAGGTGAGTGCTGAAGGGTTTAGGGTTCAGGGTTCAAGTGAAGTGACATCTGCTGTGGCTGTAACTCTTCATACCGCACCCACCTGGTCATTCTGCAAACCCTACACCCAAAGGCCTAGAACTTCTAAATCCTCAACCCCCCCCCCCCCCCAAACCGCGAAAGCCCCCCAAACCTCAACCCCAAGCCCTATAACCCTTCGTGGAGGATAGTTGTCGGGGCTTGTAGCCTCAGTTATGGAAGCCCAGAAGCCCGAATCTCGACACACCCTAAATCCTTTAACCCCTAAACCCCAAACCCTAACCCCCTAACCCCTTAAACCCCCCTAAACCCTAACCTCCTAGACCCTTAAGCCTAAATCCCTATCTCTCCCGCGTCTCAAAAGGGTGCGTGCCAATGGCGTACAAGCCATCGACGGCTCCACCTCCGTACCCTGGCTCGTACGTTCGACTAGATCACAAGGTGGAGAGGGTTTAGGGGTTACGGCTTTGTAGGGGTTTAAGGGGGTTTAAGGGGGGTTTAGGGTTTAGGGTTTAGGGTTTAGGGTTTAGGGTTTAGGGTTGAGTGTTTAGGGTTTAGGGTTTAGGGGGGTTTAGGGTTTAGGGTTTAGGGGTCGTACGAGGCTTTGTGGCCGCTGAGCAGCTAAGGCTAAAAGGGCGTTTTAGATTTATACCCTTAACCCTAGTTTTGGGGTATAGCCTGTCATTCCGTAGACCTTGAACCCCAAACCCTAGTTCCATGGGCCTTTTACATGGGCCATTACCTCCTTAAATGGTTCTGATGTAGGGGCCCATACTAAGGGACCATGCAACCCTAAACCCTAAACCCTAAACCCTAAACCCTAAACCCCTGAGGGTTGCGGGCTACGGGCGGAGATGCTGCTACTTGAGAAGCGGCAGGTTGATGAGCCACAAACCCTCAACCCTAAAACTCCCAAACCCTAAGCCCTAAACCCAAACCCTAAACCCCAAACCCTAAACGCTAAACCCTAAACCCTAAACCCTAAACCCTAAACCCTAAACTCCCAAACCCTAAACCCTACAGGGCAAGAGTACGAGTCTGTGCCGGGTCGAGCTATGGGTTTAGGGTTTGGCGCTTCGGGTACGCCCAAACCCTAAACCCTAAACCCTAAACCCTAAACCCTAAACCCTAAACCCCACGGTTTTTGCAGAGCCCAGGTCTGCCGAATTGTCTCCCGAGCGTGCCTGGCTCTCACTCAGTTCGATGGTCAGATCACCTCTTGAGGGTTTAGGGTTTAGGGTTTAGGGTTTAGGGTTGTTTAGGATCTAGAGTAGTTTCCAGGGCATGTACAGGGGGTTTAGGGTTTCGGGCTTAGGGTTTAGGAGTTGACAGGGGGGTTGAGGGTTGAGGGCTTAGGGTTTAGGAGTTTCTGGGCTCATTTTTGGGGGGGGGGGGGGGGGGGGTGATGTGGCTCATGAAGCGCCTGGAGGGCTTGTAGAGTCAATAGGGCATGTAGAATATAGAGTTTTAGGGCTTTCCTGTTCCTATCGTCAGGCGCTGTAGTGTTTTTTGAGGGGTCCAAATGGTCTGTAGGGTCGCGTTCTTAAGTTTTGAAGCTTTTCTGGGTTTTGCATGGTTTAGAGATCTGAACAGCAATTTCTTGGGGTTTAGGGTTTGGGGGACCATGATCATGAGAGTGAGAGCAGAAGAGCACGTTTCGCAAGTCAGGAACCACGCTTGCCAGCCCAATGCCACACTCTGCCCAGAGGACGGCTTAGGGTTTAGGGGGTTTAGGGGGTTTAGGGGGTTTAGGGGGTTCAGGGTTTAGGGGGTTTAGGGGGTGCAGCGCTTTGCTGTTGCGTCTCTTAGAGTTCATTCTTCAGAAGGTACGTCCAAGGGATCGTTTCAGGGGCCCTGAATACTTGGTAGATAGTTGTACTCTTTATCCTTTGTTTGGTTCTGGGTTCCCTTATAAAGTAGCCAACCCCCAAAAAAGGGTGCCCTTATTGTAATATGGTTTCTGGATTCTGGGCTACCAAGAATATGTTCCCTTACCTTCTTGACAGGGTTCTGAAGTATGGGCCTTGGGTTCGAGAGGGTGTATACAGTATATATGGGGTCCCTTCTTGTTAAGGGCCCATACTAAGGGACCACGAAGCTGCTCTGGCTACCAAAAGACTTCAACCACAAAACAAGAGGGTTTAGGGTTTAGGGTTTAGGGTCTAGGGTCTAGGGTCTATAGCGGAGATACTTCTCCCTTGGCTTCTGGTTTAGCGACCCGCTCGCCCCCTCGCCCACACACGTGACTTGCGACTGTCAGAATGCTAGGCATTCCCAACATCAACAAGCAGATACATCGAGCCTCCTGGAGACCAGAATTCCTGAATGCAAATAAAGGTCTGAATTCTATAGCCAAGAAGCTCTACAGTAAACTCCAAGGCCTATATAAACCCTAAACCCCAAACTCCAAACCCGGTTTAGGGTTTAGGGCCTAGGGTGAGAGTGTATATATGTTTTACGTATATGTACTTGTTTTTATGCGTGTTGCGGGCTTGGGTCTAAGGCTCATTCTGTTATTTTCAGATGTCGGGCGCTAAGTCCCTATGAGTCCTTTACCCTAAAACCCTAAAACCCTAAACCCCAAAACCCCTAAAACCCTAAACCATACAAACCCAAACACCCTAAACCCTACACCCTATACCCCCATAAGCCCTAAACCCTATAAAACTAAACCCTAACCTGGCAGACGGGGGGTGCCATCCGCTTGGTTGCGCTCTGCGATCTGGCGCCAGGCGGCTCCCAGATCACATCTACATCTACCGTTAGGGTTTAGGGTTTAGGGTTTAGGGTTTCGGGTTTAGGGTTTAGGGTTTCGGGTTCAGGTTCGCAAGAGTTCAAATCGAAGCCCGAGATCGTGTCTTGCGCAGGAATGACCTCCGCGTAGCTTGACTGTTTCCCTAAATCCCTATAAACTCTTAAACTTGAGACTTTGCAGCTTTGGACTAAGCTGGGCATCGAAACCTGTAACCCCCTAAACCCTTTCCCACAAAGTTTGCCGGCTTGAGCAACGGTTGCGCGCGCCGACTCGGCAGCCGGGCCGGTTTTACTCGCGGTGTAGCGTGCGAAGGAAAGCCAAAGTCACCTGTCGCTTGGCGCCGCATGGCCACACCACCCGAAACCCCTAAACCCCTGAACCCAAAAATCAAGCCCCAAACCCTAAACCCTGAACCCTAAACCCTGAACCCTAAACCCTAAACCCTAAACCCATGAGTTCAGGAGGTAGGAGGCCTTCAGGCGGGTTCCAGAGTCTGAGAGGGGCGGCCCCAGTGCCCAGACTTAGGCGCCAGGGTTTAGGGTTTAGGGTTTAGGGTTTAGGGTTAAAAGGGGCCGAGGCGAATTTCCAGGACCTTCTCGGTTGCAGTCGGTGACGCCAGGTGAAGAGATCTTGGTGTCTTACCTCTCCGGTGAGGAGCTGCGCACTACTTTCGGGTTTAGGGTTTGGGGTTTAGGGTTTAATTAGTAGCCACTACAAAGGGATGTAAACTGTAAGCTGCACCCTTGTATCGCGAGTTAGGTCGTTGTCCCACTTGACTAGGATGCCCAGTAGGTGCCCTTATTCCCTTTTTGGGAGCTCTAGGTTCCCCTACAAACCCCTTTACGCAAGAAAATGGCACCCTTTTTATTCCTAGGTTACTGGGCAACCTAGTTGAGTCTATGGCCTACTCTGGGCTTAAACAACTGCGCGGGCAGTGTTGGCTCAAAGAGACGAAGTGCTCGGTTTGGAACTCCCTCATATGGCCGAGCCTAGGTGCCTTGTCAATGCAACTTCTTCTTTAGGGTTTAGGGTTTAGGGTTTAGGGTTTAGGGTTTAGGGTTTAGGGTTTAGGCCCTTGTTCCCCTTTGTTTAGGGGTTAAGCTCCCTATAAGCCCCCGCTTTAACCCAAAAAGGGCACCCCTCTTGTTTCTAGGTTGCTCTTGTGGCTCTAGTCTAGCTTCTAAGGTTCTACTTTGACGCAGTATCTGCGGAGCTCAAGAATCATGAGCCCTTCAACGACTCTAAAAAAACAACGTAATACTATTGAAGACAGTTTTAGCCTCCCAAGCTTCTGAAGGAGTGGCAAGCTAACCCTAAACCTTGGGATGTTCCCCCTTATACTAACAGTCCTTCATAGGAGTCTCTATGAAGGACTGCTAGTATAGGGGGGAACATCCCAACCATGAGCCCCTAAAGCCAACTTTGAGAAACGTGGGGGGGGTGAATGAACCTTGCAAGGGCGTTCATTCTGGTCAATATACCTAGGGTTTAGGGTTTCAGAGACCTTCGTAGTGCAGAGTACATGATCCCAATGCTCGGGTTCATGTCGCTGCATTCTACTTGCGACCACGCAACCAACACCAGCAGATGCGCCAGATCATGCCCCCCCACATAACACCCCAAACCCTAGCGGCCCCAAGCCCTCAACCCCTGCTGCCTCTAGCCCTCAAAGCTCATACTGCGCAGACCAGAGGTACCGCCTGACTTTCATCGACTTCGACGCGCCGCAAGCGAATCATGGTCGCACGCGGTGCATGAGCTGCCCCGCATCCTCTCGTCACTTCACCAGAACCGACGATCCGGATGCACCTAGACACAGTGTGGCATCCGGCTTTGCTTGGTTCAACCTCATGACTTGTGTAATGTTTGATCTTAAGTCCTACATCCTAAGTCGTAAACTCTACCTCGTAACTCCTAGATCCTAAATCCTAACTCCTAACCTTAAGAGACCTTCAAAGCAAATGGTTCACGTTAATTATCTTCACCCTCACCTCTCCGCGACCTGCTCTTTCTGAATAGCCCCACCCCGCCCGAACTATTCTCAACATCTCAGAGTTCAATTTCGGAAGGGCCAGAAGCCCACACCCAAAACCCTACCCCCTAATCCGCCCCCCCCCCTCCCAAAAAACAAAAAAGTAATAAGAGACATAAAAACATATAGCTGCGATTCCAGAAGGAGACGCAGGAGTACATTCTCTACACGAAGGAGCTGGAGCAACGCGCGCAGACTCTGGCACCCTCTCCTGCGCTTCGACGTGCTCGACGTGCCGCGCGTGCCGGCGCAGGGGCCGGGTGAGTGACGCAGGTGACGAGCCAACTGAAGGGAAGTAGGGGCATCTCCCTGGCCTACACGGTGCCATTAATCCCCCACTTCCCTACTAGAAGCCAGGCAGCCAAGAGTGGAGTTGAAGGCCCTGTGGCAACCTGGGGTAGAGTAGGAGGTTCAACCTTCGGGGTTTAGGGTTTAGGGTTTAGGGTTTAGGGTTTAGGGTTTAGGGTTTAGGGTTTAGGGTTTAGGGTAACTCACAAGTACTTAGAGGCTTAGGGTTTAGGGAGCTTAGGGTTTACGGTTAGGGTTTAGGATGTAGGGGTGACACCTGATAGCTGGTAGTCGTACCGGCGCTTTAAAGGCTCACAAGCCAACCCTCCTACACACCCTAGACGCCCCTAAGCCCTATCCCTAAAGACCCCAAACCCTACACCCTAGGCCCTGAACCCTATACACAATCTGGGGCCTTCACCTTCACAGCAAGCTGCTTGCACTCTTGGACTGGAGTTCATACCTGCCAAGGCTGGGTGCCGAGATGTAACGTTCTCCGTGACTCCAAAGTGTTTATATTTCGGAGTTCTCAAGGGCGGCGTGGGGGGGGGGGGGGGGTTCATGGGGGTTTAGGGTTTAGGGTTTCGGGTTTAGGGTTTAGGGTTTAGGGTTCAGGGTGTACCTGGAAGGGCTTAGGGAGCAGTGGGGAGTAATGGGGAGTATTTTCAAAGCCTTCGGTTGCATAACGTCCTTGGGCCCCCCAATGCGATGGATTTGCTTAAGAACCCGCAAAAAAGAAGAAACCCCGAAACTTGTAGTGCAAGGTTTTCTACGGTTGAAAAGGTCTGTTTCTTTTTCTCTCGGGAATCATCCAACTCCGCGATTGGCTTCACTCAGGCCACGAACACGAATGCAGATAAGCAATCGCGAGACGCAGCGTGACCGCAACAACCCGAAGAAACGGCGCGATGCAAGTTCTCCCTAAACCCTAAACCCTAACCCTAAACCCTAAACCCTAAACCCTAAACCCTAAACCCTAAACCCTAAACCCTAACCCTAAACCCGAAGCTACACGAATCACCCACGAGTGTTGCTCGACATCCTCGTGCCTGTCAGCACTTTTGGCCTCGCGAGGCTTGACAGATGTGTCGAGATTGCGGACAAGGGCTTAGGATTTAAAGTTTAGGGTTTAGGGCTGAGGGTTTAGGGTTTAGGGTTGAGGGTTTTGTAGGATTTAGGGGATGGTCGCCATACTTTGGGATGCTCCCCCTTATACTACCAGTTTTAGCAGTCCTTAACAGGGATTCTAATGCCCCCTAAACCCTAAACCCTAAACCCTAAAAGAATACTAGTACCCCCGATTATCATCCCGAAGAAGGACTCTTACTATAAGGGGGAGCATCCCAAGCCATCCTCTTGACTGTCAGCCCTAAACCCTAAACCCTAAACCCTAAACCCTAAACCCTAAACCCTAAAAGCTTCAAAGTTGATTCCATCGCCGCGAAGATGGCCCACTCCGGCATTCCCCATCCTCACGGCTGTCCCTAAACCCTAAACCCTAAAGCCTAAACCCTAAACCCTAAACCCTAACACTGCTAGGAGGCTCCTGGTACTTCTTAACCCATGATAACTGTACTTATAACTGTACTCATCCAAGAACATTAGGGAACTTAAAAGGGCTGATAAGTGGGTTATAAGTACAGTTATAAGCTGGCTACTAGGTACTAAGTACTTATAAGTGGGTTATAGGTACAGTTATAAATTGGTTACCAAGTACCATGAACCGACCGGGACGACCGTTCCACTCAGGGCTGCGTTGACACCCAGACATGCACCCTCCGTGTGACCGTCGTCACTTCTCCTATATCCCCCTTGTTTTTCCTTAAACTTTTGTTCATATAAAACCCAAGAGACTAATGATATCATATTTATTAAGGTTCTAAGGGGTGTATAGTCTCATTGCACGCAGAGTCTAAGAAACAACCCCAAAGGTGGCGACGCTTGCGGGCACTAAACGCACGGAGTCGGGTCCCTATACCCTCCGAACCTCAACTCTCAAAGCGAGAACGCTTCGCTGCGCATTTTTTTTTGGGGGGGGGGGGGGGCACAAACAGCCCTAAATCACACCTTGAGACCCTAACTCTCATATCTTGGTTGGCTTCCTGATGAACGTGAAGAGAACTATATTTTAGTTGTTCTTGTAATGCCTGCACGAAGCCTGGTAGAATATAGTGAACGATTCCTGTCCATGGTTCGCTGGTACTAAAAGGATAAGTGAATATGGGAGTGGAAACGTAGAATCATATGATTGAACGTGTGAATGAGTTTATGAACGTAACAAGAGAACCAGCGATCGATACAAAGTGAGGAAAAGGGCGCATGAATAGACTTATTGTAAGCCCTTTTGCGTACAGCAGCAAAGAGCACAAAATTAAGGTCTTTATGGGGCTCTTAGTACATTATTAGGTGGAAGGGATGAATGTATGAACGCGTTCATTTAATTCATGCCCCCATTCAAACTTATAATTTCTCGCGAACACAATTAACAAGAAAACAAGTGAATACAGTGAGTGAATACAATTTATGTGAAGCGCATGAATTGTATGAACGACGAAGTGAAATGAGAGAACGTAGCGAATCATTGAACGAATGCAGAAAAAGTGAATTTAACCTCGCGTATTTGTTCCTACGTGTACTTTGTGCGTATTATGAGCGCCCGTACTATCACTAGGTGAATGAAATTAGTGCGTTCACGCGTGAACCAAATTAACGCGGCATTCACACTAATTATTAGCGTAATGCCCCTAAGCCCGATAAACCCACCCTCTAAGCCCTATAATTCCATCAAACACCGTGTGAACCCTTCCGGCACCCATGCTTTGTTTTCCGTGGACACCGGCCAATCTACACGCTTGGAGCCAGCAACCTGAAGTCAGGCTGTTGAGATGTCATGCGCTGTGGCAAATCGATTTCAGGGTTTAATATAGACGACTTAGTGGTTTACGATGATAGGGATACCTTATTGGGGTCCTTATCAGTGTCTCATCTTCTGCAGATTAATGGACCAGAGCCCAGCGTTCCCTTGCTGCATGCAGAGCATGCAAATGCCATCTATTTATTTTGCGACACCTGTCAAGGCCGAGATTTCTTGAAGCTCACGCGGATGGCTTTTTAGGAGGTTTATGGTTGGGCCCTTGTTGAGGCCGGTTGCAAAAAAAAACACCCTAAACTGCGATAGGTCTACGTTCTGTTCTATACTATCTGTTGCCCCAGATCTGATGCCAGGAGATCTAGCTGCAGACGCTGTTTCTCAGTTTTGTGAATCCTTTGAGTGATGTCAGACGACTTTATAATGTCTTGGCAGAAGGATAAATGGCCGGAAACCTTGCGAAACCGAAGTCCGGATCTCCTCGGAGGTTCTGTAAACCCCAAACCCCCCAAACACCCGAAACCCTAAACCCGAAAACCGAAACCCCAAACCGCCCCAAAACTGGTTTAGGGTTTGGAGGGCTTCGGGCTTCGGGGTTTTCAGGGTATTTATCGGGTTTTTGCAGAGGTTTTAGGGCTTAGAGGGGTATATGGAACTTATCTACGGTTTAGAATGGGGCTTCCTAGGCTTGCTGGGTTTGTTTCATGATTTTTTTTCCGTAAACCCACTAAACCCTAAACCCTAAACCCTAAACCCTAAACCCTAAACCCTAAACCCTAAACCCTAAACCCTAAACCCTAGGGGAGGGGGGGGGGGGTTGGGGGGGCGGTGGTGCGGAAAACGCCACTGTCAAGGCGGAGCCCGGGGTGTAGGGTTTAGGGTTTAGGGTCTAGGGTCTGAAGCGCTTTCAGTCTGCCTCTAGGGAGCCACAAAGGGAAGAGTAGCCTACAAAGGACTTAGGGGTTTTTTGGGTTCAGGGTACTTAGAACCCAAACTTGAAGCGTAGTTACAAACTACTTAGGAGCCCCTTTAAGTACCTTAGTAGGGGTTAACATTAGGTTAGAAGTGCAGTTATACTTGGGGTTACTAGGCACCATGAACCCCTAAACCCTAAACCCTAAACCCTAAACCCTAAACCCTAAACCCTAAACCCTAAACCCTAAACCCTAAACCCTAAACCCTAAACCCTAAACCCTAAACCCTAAACCCTAAACCCTATGTGGAGCCCCCTTTCTTTTTTGGAATGCTGTGCTTGCGGGATTGCGCCTGGGAAGCGGCAGAACCGACCATTAGAGTTTAGGGTGTTGGGCTTTAGGGCTTTGGAGTTTTGGAGTTTTGGCGTTTAGGGTTTTGGGAACCTTAAACCCTTAACCCTAAACCCTTAATTAACCTAGAAAACTCGAGGTACTTAGGTGTCGGGGGCGGTTTTAGGAGCGCCGTTCGCCAGCGGCAGGACCTTCTGCGACCAACTTGGGCGCGCCGACGGGAGCTGGAGAGGGGGTGGCTTCGCAGCAGGTGGGTCTTAGGGCCGTAGAACTGGGTAGGGTTTAGGGTTTAGGGTTTAGGGTTTAGGGTTTAGGGTTTAGGGTTTAGGGTTCAGGGTTCAGGGTTCAGGGTTTCGGGTTCAGGGTTCAGGGTTCAGGGTTTAGGGTTTAGGGTTTAGGGTTTAGGGTTTAGGGTTTAGGGTTAGGGGGTCTCTGGAACATAAGCTTGTAACTTCCAGAAGCATAGAGCAAGAAGAAGCTCCTGCAGGGTTGCAGGTACGTGATAGGCTTGCTTCCAATGCTCGTTCCCACCCATTTGCCTTGTCAACCGCATTAGCGTTTCCGGTATCAAGCAAGGGCACAGCCCCACCATGTGCTCGAGTGCCTATGCATACTGTATGCATAGCGGCTAAACCCTCACCACCCCGCCCCCCTCCCCCCCCCCCCCCAACGAAAAGAAACAAACAACCCCCCCCCCCCCCCTCTAAAAGCCCTAACGCCCTAAGCCCCTAAGTGCACCCCAAGGCCGTGGGGCTTCCGTTGCGAGTGCGAGCGATGCCGGGGGAAGGCGGGTTTCCTCGCCCCAAATCGCTCGTGAGACAGCCGCAACTCATAACCGAGCGAGCATATGAGACTCGTCATAAAGAGGGGTTAAAGGGTTACGAAGAGGTTACAGGGGGTTTTAGGGGTTCCAGGGGGTTGTAGAGGTCTTACGGTTTACTGTTGACAATAGGGTTTCTAGGGAGCCGTCGGCTGACTCTGGGCTTTGGCAGCTCGGGTTTGTTCTGGGTTTCGAGGGTTTAGGGTTTAGGGTTCAGGGTTTAGGCTTGTGCAAACATCAACATGGTAACGTAGCAATGTAGATCCTGCATCCATCCCTATGGGTTTAGGGTTTGGGGTAGGGTCTCGCCAAACCCTAAGTCCCAAGCCCAGGCGCCCCAAGCCCCAAACCATGACTCCGACACTGGCACATGGTGGCGAAACCCCCTTGAACCCTAAACCCTAAACCCTAAACCCTAAACCCTAAACCCTAAACCCTAAACCCTAAACCCTAAACCCTAAACCCTAAACCCGGAACAGGACCTCACCCGTGGGATGCAGTGCTTGAGCTGCGGCGACTTGGCCGCGCCCCACGTGCTTGTCGGATGGCGTTGAGGATTTAGGGTTCAGGGTTCAGGGTTTAGGGTTCAGGGTTTAGGGTTTAGGGTTTAGGGTTTAGGGTCCCTAAACCCCTGAACTCCCTAAACCCCTAAACCCTAAGCTTCCCTAAACCCTAAACTTCCCTAAGCCCCCTAAACCCTATAAACCCTAAACCCCAGAAAGTCAAAAAGCAAAAAATTGAACCCTAAACCCTAAACCCTAAACCCTAAACCCTAAACCCTAAACCCTAAACCCTAAACCCTAAACCCTGAACCCTGAACCCTGAACCCTAAACCTGAACCCTGAACCCTGAACCCTGAACCCTGAACCCTGAACCCTGAACCCTAAACCCTAAACCCTAAACCCTAAACCCTAAACCCTAAACCCTAAACCCTAAACCCTAAACCCTAAACCCTAAACCCTAAACCCTAACCCTAAACCCTGAACCCTAAACCCAAAGAAAAGCCTATAAAAGCTCAACACCTCGGTTGGGAAGAGTCTGTTGCTTTGCTAGGACCGGGAGTAGGCCCTTGTAGGGTTTAGGGTTTATTGTTTAGGGTTTAGGGTTTTTAGGGTTTAGGGTTGACGGGGTTCCCTTGTCATCCCCTTAAAGCCAAGAAGTGCACCCTGTTTATTCCTAGGTTACTCCCGGGTCTAGTTTGTATAGGGGTTTAATTAGGGTTTAGGGTTTAGAGTTTAGGGTTTAGGGTTAGGGTTTAGGGTTTAGGGTTTAGGGTTTAGGGTTTAGGGTTTAGGGTTTAGGGTTGAACCATCGAAGGTTCTGAAACTGCGCTCCCCCGCCACAGAAATGACGGCACCTGAAACGGTGAAATGCGGTGAAGTAGGGTGAGCTAGGGTTTAGGGTTCCCTTGCAACCTAGGCTTTCCCCATAGCCATATCCGGTTAAGAAAGTCGTGCCAAGCGCGCATGCCGAGGAATGAGAAAAAGCCATGCATTCAAGAATGTACTTACTCTGAAGCACCGCCTAAGGCCAAACATACTCCCGATGTTCCTTCGCGTGCGCCGGTGGCCAGCACCCCTAAACCCTAAACCCTTACCCCTAAACCCTAGCCCTAAACCCTAAACCCTAAACCTTAAATCCTACGATCAGGTGATGGCTCCTACTATCCGACCGAGGGTGGGAGCTGGTCTTGCCACCCGGCTGGTGAAGATGCCCGTGCAGTCCTAGACCCTGCATTAGGGTTTAGGGTTTAGGGTTTAGGGTTTAGGGTTTAGGGCTAGGGTTTAGGGCTTCGGGTTTGGGGCCCGGAAGCCCTTGCTTAACGTTACCTTAAGTCCTTGGATTCTAAGTCCCCAAACCCTAAACCCTAAACCCTACATAAACCCTAAACCCTAAACCCTAAACCCCAAATCCCAAACCCCAAACCCCAAACCCCAAACCCTAAACCTTTCCTCCCAGCTCCCACCCAGGTTGTGAGGCGTGCGGAGACCAGCCGCCTTCCCAGGAGGCCGTGTCCGAGGCCGGACGGGGGATGATCGCGTTGGTTGGGTTTAAGGGGGATCCGGGTGTAGGGTGTTCAAGAGGGTTTAGGGTTCAGGGTTTAGAGTTTCGGGTTTGGGGTTTAGGGTTTGGGGTTTTAGTACTCAATGGTGCAGGAGGGGAGGTTTTGGGGTTTAGGGTGTAGGCTAAGGCTTGGTCCTGAAACCCTAAACCCTAAACTCTAAACTCTAAACCCTAAACCCATAACCCATAAACCCTAAACCCTGTGTGGGGGGGTTTATGGCCCCCTTTGGCTTAGGACCTCTCTCCTTGGTGGCCAGGCCATGAGCACTTCTGTGGCAACCCTTTCTCTGGGACATCTTTCTGCAATGACCCTAAACCCTAAACCCTAAACCCTAAACCCTAAACCCTAAACCGTCTTGCGCACAACCTGAGTCTTTACTTGCGACTTTGGGCCCCTCCAAAATTTGGTCACAGTACCACGCTTCCAACTTGAATCGGATGAAGGGCGTAAAGTTTTTTGGGTATAGGGTTTAGGGTTTAGGGTTCAGGGTTTAGGGTTCAGGGTTCAGGGTTCAGGGTTCAGGGTTCAGGGTTTGGGTACTTGAGGGTTCGTGGGTAATTATAAGTAGGCTTATCAGGTTAACATAGTTGCCCTGCGCATTACCCGGCTTGTAAGTAGCCATGAACCTCCAAGAAAAGGACACCTACAGAAACTCCTCCAGCCGACAGTAGTTCGACAAAGCCGTCCTCGCATTGTTGCACTGCCGAAATTGGTTGAGGCAGAGTCCTTCTGGCAATCAGACGCTCGGCACCAGTGTGGACTAGGGTGAATAGGTCCCAAACCCTAACCCTAAGCCCGAAAGCCCTAACCCTAGGCCCGAAAACTTGTGCTGACCAAGCACAGAAGAACTAATTTCCGTCTTTGGGAGCCTCGCTTAAGGCTTGGGACCCCTACGGTTCAGGGTCCTCTCGCTCTTTCTCTCTTTCTCTGTTTCCCTCTTTCTCTTACATATATGTGTGTAGATGCAGATGAGCATGTCCAACAAAAGGGGGATACCCCTAATATACCCCAAAACTCCCATAGTCCTCAGTCAAAGGTACCCCCCGACATCCATAGGGGGGGTTTCCGAAATTCGGGGTACCTCATTGGGGCTCCTGAGGACCAGGGGCTCCTCCCATTTGGGGAGTCTATACTAGGTCCCCCAACTGGGTCCCCCACTATCGTAAACTCCCATATTCCAGGCCTCTAGGGCCCCACGTCCCATAGGCGGCGGCCATGAGACCAGTGGATCGGTGCACAAAGTAGGAGGGACTTGTCATGCCCTGCATTCTGAGCCCGAAGACCCTAAAGCCTAAACTCTAAACCCTCAATCCTCAAAAACCCTGGAACTTGAAATTACTCAAATGTCAAGAAACGAAACTCCTCGAAACTTCCCCGGACCTGAACCCTTAATAATTTCATAAAAAAACCCATGTCAGGCTTTGCAACAGCTTGACACGGCCGGTGAGGCGCAATATCGCCTCGTGGCCGCAAAAGTGTGGGAGTTTTCCTCTATCGAGGCCACGCGTAGTACTGCGACACCCGGTGTAGTTCGCCCCTATTCCTTAAACCCTAAAGCCTAAACCCCAAACCCTAAGCCCTAAACCCCAAACCCAAAATATTCCTTTCCTCCTTCCCCTCCCCCCCCCCCCCCCCCCCCCCAAAAAGAAAAACAACGCAGATCCATTTTCAGCCTTAGCCTGAAACTTTCCTGCCATCCTAAGACCACTTGCATTCAGAGACTCCAAGTGGGCAAAATTCCTGTGAGTCTAAGGAAACCTCCAGGGCTTGCTGCAGGGTTTAGGGTTTAGGGTTTAGGGTTTAGGGTTGAGGGTTGAGGGTTCAGGGTTTAGGGTTTAGGGTTTAGGGTCCTACCTTTACCTTGCTTTTTATGCTTCAAGTGTGTTTCGGTTTTTGGCTTGGAGCTTTTGTTCTGCCACGTGTTGTCATCCTACGTCTTCTCACGACGGCCCTCGACACAGCGATGTCCGAATTCAGTCAGGGCGGTTTTGTCAGGGCAAAATTCGCGCGCGCGCGCGCGCGCGCGCGTGCGCGCGGGGCCGGTGTAGCTTCCTGGTGTCAAAGGTCTCGGAGGTTCCCTGCTTTTGTCCAGAGCCTCAACCATGGGGGCCCTTAGAGCCTGCAGAACGAAGAGATTTCTGATGGCAGCCCTGTTCAAAGAACCAGGCTTAGGGTTTGGGGAACCCTAAACCCTAAACCCTGAACCCTAAACCCTGACCCCTGAACCCTGAACCCTAAACCGGTTGAGGAGCCCTGCCAACTTCTCAACCCTTTGCAGCACAAAGGAGAGCTGGCAGTCCAGCTGCATCGACAGTTCCAAGGCCACTGCAGGGTTCAGGGCTTAGGATTTAGGGTTTAGGCTTTAGGGTGTAGGGTTTTGGGAACATGTAGGCGCTTTGGGATATTCCATGTTTTCCTTCATTGGGGTAGAAGATGTTCACATCCAGGAATTTCAGAGGGCGTTAAGGTCCACTCTAGGCCAGAAGCCAGATGCTTGACAGAGGCTGTTTGCTGAATCGTCTGAGACTGGGAAAGATGAAGGGTTTAGGGTTTAGGGTTTAGGGTTTCAGGTTTCGGGTTTCGGGTTTGGGGTTGAGTAGTTCAGGGTTTAGAGATTCGCTAAGACTACCTTGGACCTTGGGATAGTTCACAAGGATTTGGGTGTTGTTATCTGTTTGCCGGAGTATTTATTTCGGAAGCTTTAAGGGGACACCACAGTTCGAGGAACAAGTATAAGCGGCACGTATTAAGTGATTTCATCGGGGTTAGAAACCTGGGTTCGTGTGTCCACCCACTATGCATTCTGTATACCCCTTAAGGGATTCTATAGGGGGATATTAGGTCCTCATTCCTTCAGTCCCTCAGCTTCAGCCCCAAACCTCAAACGACCATCCCCCTTGAGGGGTATTTGAAGGAGAGGTACAGGAAATAGAGTGTAAACTTGCCAACTGTGGCGGGGCTGACCCTAAACCCTAAACCCTAAACCCTAAACCCTAAACCCTAAACCCTAAACCCTAAACTGTTAGGGATGCTAAGGTCGCCCCTTCAGGCCGAATCTCTATGACATGTCGAGCCCATGCACATGTCATGCTGGACTCCAAGCCCCTAGCGTTTAGGGTCTAGGGTTTAGAGTTTAGGGTTTAGGGTTTAGGGTCCCAAACCCAGCACTTCTTGAACCCCAACCCTGCCAAGGTCGTCGTGGGCTGTGGCCTCGAGCCCAGCAGCACTGGGTCGCGCTCCCAGGAAGTTTAGGGCGTCGCCCTAAACCCTAAACCCTGAACCCTAAACCCTAAACCCTAAACCCTAAACCCTAAACCCTAAACCCTAAACCCTAAACCCTAAACCCTAAATCAAGGGTCAAGGGATAAAGACTCGTACTCCTAAGGTTGTGCCCCCAAAGGTTCCCCTGAATATACTCCGAGTATGGCCCTTACATTCCAAGGATCCTCAACAAGGGACCCGTGCAACCTTAAGGGTTTAGGGTTTAGGGTTTAGAACCCCTAGAGTTTAGGGGTTTGAGCGTTTGAGGGCTTGAGGGTTTTCAGTGCATAAGGTTTAGGGGTTTAGGATTTCAGTTCCAGGGCTTAAGGCTCAGGGTTCAGGATTTCAGACTTAAGGGTTTTAGGTTGTAAGCTTTAGGGTTTAGGGTTCAGGGTTTAGGGTTTAAGGTTTAGGTTCTAAGGTTTCGGCTGTCAGGTTCAGGTTCTAAGGTTTGAGGGTTTAGGGTTTAGGGTTTTGGGGTTCTACAGTAAGGCCCCCGGGGTTGCAGGGCTTCACCAAGTTAAGCCCACATATCTTCAAGCCTGAGAACAACATCGCCCGCAACAACAACCTCCAGGCCAAAAAACACGAAAAGAAGCTGCAGGGGCCATGGAACACCCCAAGACAGCCCAAGGCACCTAAACCCTAACCCTTGAACCCTAAACCCCATAACCCTAAACCCTATAACCTAAACCCTAAACCCTAAACCCTAAACCCTAAACCCTTAACCCTTAAACCCTAGACCCTAAGCCCCAGAGGCCCCCGAACCCTACCCAAAGTGTGCTGGAGGTGGCCGCGTGGGCCGCCAGAGCAGCAGCCATCGCGCACCAGGACCACACCAATTCTTGAAGCATCTGAGGTTCAGAGTGTAAAGGTTTTAGGGTTTAGGGTTTAGGGTTTAGGGTTTAGGGTTTAGGGTTTAGGGTTTAGGGTTTAGGGTTTAGGGTTTAGGTGTAGGGTTTTTGGCTTCTGGCTTCGGGCCTTCCCGCTGGGCCCCATAGGCTTTGTTAAGTTTTTTGACTTAAAGCCTTCCTTTCCTAAACCCTAAATCCTAAACCCTAACCCCTAAAGCCTAAACCCTAGACCCTAAACCCTATGTTTGTCTTGAAGTTGTGAGCAGCCATGTTGATCTGCATGGGGAGGTTGGCTCAGAAGCTGCTTGATGACCTTATCCCTATAGTATTTGCGGTACTGCCACCGGCTCATAAGCTCCAATGGGACCTCTTTCCAGCAACGCGTTGCCATCATCTGCACCGTAGTCTGACTCTACTGCTCTTCGCCTCAAAGTGGCCTTGAGCACTGAGGAACCAGAGTTAAGTAAGCATCCTTGCGTGAGTTCAACACCCCCCGCCTTGCGAGATTTACGAGCAATGACCCTCAGAACTCACTTTTCGGGGGATGCTTCCAAGCACCCTGTTTCCACGAGGAGGTAGTGATCATCACAAAATATAGCGGTCGGCAAGCGAAATATGGCAAATGTTTGATCTGCAGAAGCATCCGGTGGTCTGCAGCCTGCGAAAGGAAACGTTCCACTGAAGGACGTGATTCCACCATGCCAAGGTCCAGGAAGCAAAACTGCTCGGTATTCAAACCTGCCAAAGTATCCTGCCATGAGCCATGCGCTTGTCCAACGTCTAGTCCGGACATGCCATCCGATGCAGAACCTTTCCGGAAGCATCTGGGATTGATTGGAACCCCCCGGGTCGCCGGCATGGTCATCTGAAGGTAAGGCTTGCGCTGGCTGCGTTGGGTCTTCATACTGTGTGCACATGTCGTTTTGGATGCCCGTAGAGGTTTGCACCCCCGCGTTCTGCAATTGCTTGCAGTGGTCTGTCTGCACCTCACGCGTCTGCTTCTCGCATGGTTGCCACCTGCATCTCTTTCGATTCTGGCTACACCTCGCAGCATTTTCCATGTCAGCATTGCCCCCCAGTGTGTTCGCGGAAACAACAGCAGCAGCTTCAACATGGTGCTCCAGTTCGTCCTCGTCGATCGGTCTTTCATTTTGTCCATGCCCGCCTAAAAGATCAGTCAGTCGGAGAAACTCGAGGCTCTTAACCTGTTTGTCTTGAAGTTGGGAGCAGCCATGTTGATCTGCATGGGGAGGTTGGCTCAGAAGCTGCTTGATGACCTTATCCCTATAGTATTTGCGGTACTGCCACCGGCTCATAAGCTCCAATGGGACCTCTTTCCAGCAACGCGTTGCCATCATCTGCACCGTAGTCTGACTCTACTGCTCTTCGCCTCAAAGTGGCCTTGAGCACTGAGGAACCAGAGTTAAGTAAGAATCCTTGCGTGAGTTCAACACCCTGAACCCCAAACCCCAAACCCCAAACCCTAAACCCTAAACCCTAAACCCTAAACCCTAAGCCCTAAGCCCTAAACCCTAAACCCTAAACCCTAAACCCTAAACCCTAAACCCTAAACCCTAAACCCTAAACCCTTCCTTTCCGTGACAGGAGACCAAGAGCTTCGCCTCGGCCATGGCAGCGGCGAAGCAGCTGCAAGCCTATGCGGGGAGCCCCGACTTGGAGAGTTAGGGTTTATGGTTTAGGGTTTAGGGTTTAGGGTTTAGGGTAGGGGGTAGGGGGTAGGCCCTTATGGTCCCTTTTGTTTGGGGGGTTTAGGGTTTAGGGTGTAGGGTGTAGGGTGTAGGGTTTAGGGCCACTGGGACCCAGAGTAGGCCCTGATTCTCGTTTCTTCGGTTTTGGTTCCGTTACAACCCCCTTTACACCAACAAGGGCACCCTTGTTGTCTTTAGGTTATTCCTGAGTCTAGTATAAGTAGGGTTATATGTCCCCTGAGTACGGTTATAACCAGTGTTACCCTACTTCTAACCCTACTTACAAGTACCCATGAACCTCCAAGTACAGGGCGTATGGGCTGAGGTTGGGATGTTCCCCCTTATACGAACAGCCCTTAATAGGGATGAGAATATAGGGGTACGACAATCCCTATTGAGGACAGGAAAGTACCAGGGGAACATCCCAAGGTCTTCTGGGATGTGGGGGCTTTCCAAGGGCTTCGGGCCCTAAGCACAATTGTGGCAGAGGTTCGGTACGTGCGTGGCCAGCGCCTGGTTGCATTGCACGCCGAGGCGCGGAGTGGTTTGGGGCTCATAGGCTCATAGGGCGTGGGGCTTGGTAAGTTTAGGCCCAGGGTTTAGGGTTTAGGGTTTAGGGTTTAGGGTTTAGGGTTTAGGGTTTAGGGTTCTTGACTGTCGAAGCTCTGCATCTCGAATCCCAAGTCCCTCAACCCTTACTTCCCTCAATCCATCAGTCCCTGGCCCAAAAACCCAGTGGTGCACGTATTGATAATGGTAATAATACTAATCATGGTAAGATTCTTAAAATAATCCTAAATATGTCTGGAAGATGGATTTATCATGTTGCAACAATGGGAATAGTAGCATTAAGCATAGTTTTTCGAGTACTCTCAGCATAAACTCGAAACGCCACTAAACCCTAAACCGTAAACCCTAAACCCTAAAACCCTAAACCCTAAAACCCTAAACCCTAAACCCTAAAACCCTAAACCCGAAACCCTAAACCCTAAACCCTAAACCCTAAACCCTAAACCCTACACCGCAGCGCATCCCTGCATCCTGGAGGCCCTTGCCTTCCGCGCACGAGGGGCGCGCGGATTGGCTGAGCGTGGGAACCAAAGAGCAGGTTCGGAGAAAGGGTTAGGGTTTAGGGTTTAGGGTTTAGGGTTTAGGGTTTAGGGTTTGGGGTTTGGGGTTTAGGGTTTAGGGTTTAGGGTTAGGGTTTAAGGTTTAGGGTTTAGGGTTTAGGGTTTAGGGTTTAGGGTTTAGGGTTTAGGGTTTAGGGTTTAGGGTTTAGGGTTTAGGGCTTAGGGCTTAGGGTTTAGGGTTTAGGGTTTAGGGTTTAGGGGGGATCGGGGCGAAAATCCGGAACCAAATCGCCCGCTCATCCCCCCCCCCCCCCAAGCCCCCAAGTTGAATGGTGGCATGCCCAGGTTGAGCGCTTGGAGGAACAGGATATAGGGCTAAGGGGGGTCAAACCGCATGGGCCAGAGGTTCATAGGCCTAAACCCTAAACCCCACACCCTAAACCCCAAACCCTAAACCCTAAACCCCAAACCCTAAACCCCAAACCCTAAACCCCAAATCCTAAACCCAGCTTCGGGTTGCATTGGTGCCACCGTGGCACTCACGTGTGCGGTGGAGGCGGTGGGCGGTGGCCTTCATGAACCCGACTGTGCAAGCCCTGTAGACCATATTCGGGTGTCCCTAAACCCTAAACCCTAAACCCTAAGCCCTAAACCCTAAACCCTAAACCCTAAACCCTAAACCCTAAACCCTAAACCTGAAATGCAGTTTCATGCCAAGAAGCTGAGAAAGCTCAGTCCTGTGCCTACTTACACAGCTCTACCAGCACGAATGATGTCGAGGGAGTTCAAGCTTTTAAAGATCTTTGGGACGGTTGCTTAGTCGTTCTTAGGGGTTTAGGGTTTAGGGTTTAGGGTTTAGGGTTTAGGGTTTAGGGCCTGAAGGAATGAGGGTACGCCATATCATCCCGAAAGGGGCAGACATACAGGGTGCCTGATTTCCAGCATCCCAAAAGAGCCCGTAGGCCCTAAACCCTAAACCATCCTAAACCATACTAAACCCTAAACCTTAAACCCTAAACCATCCTAAGCCCTAAACCGTAAGCCCTAACTTTCAACCTGGGGTTATGCTTGGTCAGGTTGCGTGGCAAAGATCCATGCAGAGAAGGGCTTGGAAGAAGCCGCGGCCTGCCTCGAATAGCAGGGCTCAGGGTTTCGGATTTCGGGTTTCGTATTTAGGGTCGAATTCGGGTTTCGTATTTAGGGTCGAATTCGGGTTTAGGGTTTAGGGTGTAGGGTTTAGGGTGTTTAGGGTGTTTAGGGTTTAGGGTGTTCAGGGTTCAGGGCTTTGGGTTTAGGGTTTAGGGCTTCGATGGGGGGTTCTGAGGTTCTGATTCGGGGAAACCTACGGACCTCCTGCTCGGAAATCTCTGCTTCGATTGGCACTCGCGACATCTTCGAGCAGGTGTTATGGAAACCCCATGATCTTCCTGCACCCTACCTGCGACCCTCTGTACCCTACAGCTTTATGCGTTATACCCACTAGCTAAGGGTAGTTACTACTAAACTGCAGGTAAAGTACATCCCAGGTGAACCCTAAACTCAATCCCTAAACCCCATTCAAGCCATCCAACGGGGTGGACCGTGCGCCTGGGCCATTGATCCCCTGAACCGACCCCGACTTGCCCCTAAACCGCGAGCTATCCTGAACTGCGGCTCTGCACTCTACAGTCCCTCAGAGCTGGGGTTTAGGGTTTATAGGGTTTGGGGTTTAGGGTTTAGGGTTTAGGGCTTAGGGTTTAGGGTTTAGAGTATAGGGCAGAATCGAATGGGATCCCGGGCTCGGTACGTAGGTGCTTTCGTCTCGGGCTCCGCATGGATCTCATTTGGAATAGGGTTCGAGTTGGCTAGGACCCAGAGTAAGCCAATATTCCATGTTTTTTTAGGGTTTAGGGTTTAGGGCTATGCTAGGACCCAGAGTAGGCCCTTATTCCTTTTTGTAGGGTTTCGGTGCCCTTATAATTCATCCACTTGTAAATTTAAGCTCTCTTTACCCTTGGGTCTAGTTGGTGTCGTTTTGGGCGCGCATTTGTTGGGTTGTGAAACGTCGTGGTCCCTTTCTTCGCCTTATCATTTTGCCGGTCGTGGGTTACGCATTTGTTAGTTTTGCGGTGCCTTTCTTACGGGTCTTGGTCACGCAGTTGTTGGGTTGCGATGTGATTACTTGGCTCGCAGCCATCCAGTTTTTTTGCGATAGATATGCCATTGAGATGGTGATTCTGGTATGTCGGTCTCACCCTAAAAACCCAAAAGCCCTAGACCCTGAACCCCATTCCTAAACCCTCCCCAATACCCCAGAAGCCCTAAAACCCTCAAACCCTCGACCCTAACACCCCAAGGCCCTAGAACCTGCAGTTCTCAAGAACCTCCCCGTACAAGGCCAAAGGCTACCTGGTGCCTAAAAACTGAACCCCAAACCCTATCCCCGACACCTCACACCCTCAACCCTAAACCCCAAACCCCAGATCTTACATCCACCTGTGCCCAGTCCAACATCCCAAACCCCAAACCCTAAACCCTAAGCCCCAAAATCCTAAACCCTAAGCCCTAAACCCTAAACCCTAAACCCTAACCCTAAGCCCCAAACCCTAAACCCTAAACCCTAAACCCTAAACCCTAAACCCTAAACCCCATCTCTTAGATACAACTCAGCCCAGGAGTCGATCTTGGGCGCGCGCCATCCCCTTGTGAGGCCCGGCGCTCACAAAAGGAAATGCCGGACGGTCGGCGTTTTAGGGTTTAGGGTTTAGGGTTTAGGGTTGAGGGTTTAGGGTTTAGGGTTTAGGGTTGAGGGTTTAGGTTTTAGGGTTTAGGGTTTAGGGTTCAGGGTTCGAAGGGTTCAAAGCCCAAATCCCCAGGAGGACGGCATGTCCTGACCACAGCCTCGACGTGTCGGCTTCTCAAAACAGGCATTCTTGAATCCCAATTCTCAAGCCCCCAAAGCCCGCTAGGCCCTACAATGCCCAAACCACAAATCCCTAACCCAAACCCCAAACCTAAAACCCCAAACCCTAAACCGAAAACCCTCAAAGCTCTGAACTTCGAATCTTACTTGGAAGTTCATGGTACTGATTAAGCAAGTACAACTGCCTAGGACCCGGAGTTACTTATTGGGGTCCTGATTACAAGGGAATCTTCCTATTTGGGATCTATTTTAGGGGTCTCCTATTTTCGTAAACCCCTACTTGGAGGCTCATGTACTTTGTCTAGGACTCGGAGTAGGCCCTTATTTCCTTGTTTCAGGGTTGGGTACCCTGTTTCTTCCTGCGTTACTCCTGGGTCTGTAGTTATGACCATATTAGGGCACTTAAGGGGCTTGTAAGTGGGCGACTGGGTTTGGGAGTCTATACATCAATGCTTCTTGTTGGTCCTGGGTTCCTATTATAGCTACTTATACCTAAAAAGTATGTACTTTTTTCCAGGGTCTACTCCAAATTATTTACAAACTTTAGACCCCAATGTAGGTATTATTTGTAAACTTGGAGCCTTAGGGCTATCATTGGTTAAGAAGTGCCATGAAGCTCCAAGCAGAAACATGACGAGGTCGCTTGAGCAGCTCCTCGGGGGGCTTGGCGAGGCCGCCTCATGCAGGTTTAGGGTTTAGGGTTTAGGGTTTATAGTTTGTAGGGTTTAGGGTTTAGGGTTTAGGGCTTGAGAGTGTGGGGTGGGGTTTCGATTTGCGGGTCGTCGCCCCTAAGCGGTTTAGGGTTTAAGCGTTACTTGAAGGTTTGTACTTGCAAGTAGGGTTACAGGTCCCCGAAGCAAGGAATCTTACCGTAGTTACCCCGAATGTTGCATTGGCTTTAGTGGGGGTCTTTCACCCCCCCCCCGCCCGCAAACAAATCCGCGACCCTCAAAAAAGAAATGCCCCCGGGACCCCCCCACAACCTCAGTGGGTGAAAGCCATCCTAAAGCCTCAGACCCCCGCCCCAGGCCCTCAGGGCCTCAAGCCTTTAGGACCTGAAGGCCTGAAGAAGCTTCCCCGCAAAAAAACTCCGACTGCTGCTCAGGCTGGTTCAGGAGTCAGACAAACCCCAAACTCTCAACTCTAAACATAAACCCTAAAAACCGTATCCCAAGAAGGAGCCGGAACTGGCACCTATGCACCTTTACCCCAGACCAGGGTTTAGGGTTTAGGGTTTAGGGTTTAGGGTTTAGGGTTTAGGGTTTAGGGTTTAGGGTTTAGGGTTTAGGGTTTAGGGTGATTCAGGGCATGCCTCCAGGCCGTCGACCTTGAGCCAAGTCTGGACACCTTGGGGTGGCTTGGCAGCCACATGGGAGGTTCAAAAGGGTTACCTGAAATTAGGGTTTGGGGCTTAGGGTTTAGGGTTTAGGGTTTAGGGTTTAGGGTTTAGGGTTTAGGGTTTAGGGGGTATGTAACCCAAGGTTCCCTCCGACAATGTAAGTAGGGTTACAAGTAGGGTAACTATGGTGTTGCAACCTGATACATGGGACTTCTAACCCTACTTCGAAGTAACTATGAACCTTCAAGCAGGGTTCTGCGGCTTAGGGTGACAACTGCGAAGGGTTTCACAGTCAAATGGGCTTATGGCGTTCGCTCTCTAATTCAACCCCAGACCCTATACACCTTCAAAATCCTCAAGCTACCGAAGTACATTTTCGGCGGTTGGGTGCCTTCCTCTGAGCAAAAGTTGTGAAGGGGTGGCCCCAGGGTTTCTAAGGTTCAGGGCTAGGAGGGGTTCAGGGTTTGCGGGGTCTGGGCAGGGTCTGGGGTTTAGGGTTTAGGGTTTAGGGTTTAGGGTTTAGGGTTTAGGGTTTAGGGTTTAGGGTTTAGAGGTTGAGGGGTGATAGAGAATTCAGTGTTTCGGGCCCAATGGCCAAGGTGTATTGGGCCTTGTGTTCGCGAAACCTCACAGGTGCCACCAAGCGAGAACCCTTCGGCTTATTGAGAGCGGAGGAGCCTTTCGACTTGGGCCTCATAGGGTTTAGGGTTGGGTGTGTAGGGCTTATGGGCCTCATGGGGTTCAGAGGGGTTAGGGAGGGCTTCTAGGGCCTGTATTTCAAGGGGTCTCATGAGGCCCTAGGGGCGTCGATTAGGTTTTAGAGCCCCGGTCTCTTATAGTTGGGCGTCTGAAAGTTATCCAGCGGTATACAAGGAAACGCATTCCTACAGGATTCCTTAAAAGATTTGTCGCCTTGTGCGGGGAAAGATACACCACACCCTAGATATTTTGAAGAGGGCCCCTACAGCCCATTTGTCCTATGATCCCCCAACCCCCCCCCCCCCCGGTTTGAATTGAACTGGTACCGAAACACCCTATGCGTCAACCCGACAGCTCTAACGCCCGGACCCTAAGCCCTATAAGCCCTAAATCCTAAACCGCAGACAAAAAAACAAGCACCCTAAACCCTAAACTCTAAACCCTAAACCCTATACCCTAACCCAGGCGCAGCAACCCACGGCCAAAGCGCCGAAGGGGCCGCTTTCGTGAGAGCCGTGGCCGGCAGCGGAGAAACAGACCTCGGCGCTTCACGCGGGGTTTGGGGTTTAGGGTTTGGGGTTTAGGGTTTAGGGTTTGGGGTTTGGGGTTTACGTTTAAGGTTTAGGGTTTGGGGTTCAGGGTTTGGGTTTAGGGTTTAGGGTTTACGGTTTGGGGTTTAGGTTTAGGGTTTACGGTTTGGGGTTTAGGTTTAAGGTTTAGGGTTTGGGGTTTAGGGTTTGGGGTTTAGGGTTGAAGGTTTATGGCTGTTTGGGGCCTGCTTTCAGGGAAGATGTGGTTTTTGGGCATGAGTGTTTTTATGGCTTGGGGTCCTTCAAGGGTTTTGGGCGTGAGGCAGCTTGATGCCGCTCCCAGGGTTGAGGAATGAGGGTTGAGGGTTGAGGGTTTAGGGTTTAGGGTTTAGGGTTTGGGGGAAGCCTGTTGCAACCTGACACCCAAACACTCGTATGGCCTCAAGCCTCGCGGCTCCGGTCCATACCGGGTTTCAACAAGTATGTCTTATAAAATTGGATGGCATCACACCGACATCTCTCCACGGGTAGTTCTTGCGACCATAAGCCCCAAGACACTATACCGTACCCCAAACGCTACACCCTACGTCGGGGGTTGCGAGCAGCCTTCTTGGGCTTAGCCCCTGCCCCTAAGCCCTAAGCCCTAAGCCCTAAGCCCTAAGCCCTAAGCCCTAAGCCCTAAGCCCTAAACCCTGAACCCTAAACCCTAAACCCTAAACCCCAACGCCAAAGCCTTGGACCTCTCCGCCTCTAACTCTGGATGCTGAGGCAGCGTGGCATCCTACAGGACTTCAGACCAGAAATCTTGCCTTCCACGGCACAGACCTCAGACTTGGTGTAGGGTTTAGGGGGGTTTGGGGTTTGGGGTTTAGAGTCAGGGTTTGGGGTTTAGGGCTCTGTGAAGTTGAAGAGTGTAGGGCGTTTGTGTGACTGACATCTCAATGCCCTAAACTCCGACAAGGCACCCATAGGCAGCGATCAACCGAACGCAGCAAAGGGCAATTCCAGGACAGAACTTTCCGTCTCTCCGTTTATGTCAGGGGTAGGTTTCTTACAAGGTTTAGGGTCTAGGGTTCAGGGTTTAGGGGCTTTTCTCTCTGGGCCAACTGTACTCGATGGAGGCCCCAAAAAAAGGCCAACCATTGTTTGGGCCAACCCCTCGCGTCATCAAGTAACCATATACTCTGAACCCAACAACCTGAGACCTAAGTCTTTTCTGCCTCAAACGAGCACGCCTCCCTCACCCTAAACCCTAAACCCTAAACCCTAAACCCTAAACCCTAAACCCTAAACCCTAAACCCTAAACCCTAAACCCTAAACCCTAAACCCTAAACCCTACAACCACCAACAACAATGGAAGTCGTCTTCAGGCATCCTTCGCAATGGTGCTCCTTTTCCTAGAGGCATTCGAAGGGAGCTGTGGCTTGCGTATCTGCCAGCTCAGGCTTCGCCGTTTAGTTAGGGTTTAGGGTTTAGGGTTTAGGGTTTAGGGTTTAGGGTTCAGGGTTCAGGGTTCAGGGTTGAGGGTTTAGGATTTCGGGTTCACAGGAACCAAAAACAGTTGAGTTTGGGGAGAAAGTGCCATGTGGGGTGTGGGCTTCCAGTGGTTGTCTCTTGAGGAGCGATGACAAGACATGACAGGGCAGACTTATTTGGGTGTGGGATTTAGGGTTTAGGGTTTAGGGTTTAGGGTTTAGGTTTTAGGGTTTAGGGTTTAGGGTTTAGGGTTTAGGGGGGCGACTCCTACAAGGAAGCTTACACCCTGAACCCCAAAACGAAACCCTAAACCCTAAACCCTGATCCAAAACCCTAAACTTAGACCCTAAACTCCGAGCCCTAAACCCCAAACCCGAAACCATGAACGCCCAATGCCCAACATCCCGCCACCCTAACCCCTCAAAACCCCTCAACCCTAAACCCTAGTTGGGCTTTGTCTTCCTTGCGTTCTTGGGAGCTTGGCGTCGCTGAAATGTTTCTTAGAGGGTTTAAGGTTTAGGGTGAGTGTGAGTTCAGCTGGAATGTCTTGGGATGTGTTGGGTGGCGGGTTTTCGCTTCAAGTGTCTTCTTCCCTTGAAACACCCAGCCCCAATCCAAAGTTAAACCCAAGCCCCAAACTCTAAACCCAAATCCTAAACCCTAAACCCCAAATCCTCAACCCTCAGCCCTATAAGCCCCAAGTCCTTCACCCTAAACCCTAAAATCCTAAACCCTGAACCCTAAACCCTAAACCCTAAACCCTAAACCCTAAGCCCAAGCAGGTGGGTGCGGCCAAGATGGGCTTCTACGTCGTTGGAACGGCTGTGCTGGACTCCCAGATTTCAACCTCCGAGTTGCTCCCATTGCAGCCCACAGGGCTCTAGGGGTTTAGGGTTTAGGGTTTAGGGTTTAGGGTTTAGGGTTTAGGGTTTAGGGTTTAGGGTTTAGGGTCCCCGAAACTGTAGTTGTGTTTGTAGGGATTTAGTTGTGTATGGCCTAGGGCTTATGTTGGTTCAGGATTTGGGGCTGAGGCCTTTTTTCATGAGGTTTTAGGGCCTAGGGCTTTAGGGCTTAGGGCTTAGGGTTTAGAGTTTAGGGTTTAGGGTTTAGGGTTTAGGGTTTAGGGTTTAGGGTTTAGGGTTTGGTGGTTCACAACGCCGCCTTCGGGTGCAAGGGTTCAGGGGTTCAGGGTTTAGGGTTTAGGGTGCTTCAGGATTGAGCCTGGAGGTCCTCCAGGTCCCTGAGGTAGGGTTTAGGGTTTAGGGTTTGGGGTTTAGGGTTTAGGGTTTAGGGTTTAGGGTTTAGGGTTTAGGGTTTAGGGTTTAGGGTTTAGGGTCCCCCCTCCCAAGAGCTTGGGACAGGGAACTTTGGGCGAGCTTCTTCTCCCGAGGGCAACTGTCGTCTTGGCCCATGTCTTTAAGTTTTGTTTAGTAAGCCCTAAACCCTAAACCCTAAACCCTAAACCCTAAACCCTAAACCCTCAACCCTCTTACGAAGTGGTTGTCTTGTTCCGCGCCGCCCTCAGAAGCAGTGGATGGCACTTTCTATATGCGTCGGCAATTGCTCGAAGAATCCTAGAAGCGAGGGACCTTAGGGGTTTAGGGTTTAGGGGCTAGGGGCTAGGGGCCTGACACCCAAACACTCGTAGGGCCTCACGCCTGGCGACTCAGGTCCATACCCTCTTAAGACTCTTAAGAGTTGAGGGGTTTGGGACTTTAGAAGGTTTAGGGTTTAGGGTTTAGGGTTTAGGGTTTAGGGTTTAGGGTCTAGGGTTTAGGGGTACCTTGAACCTGAAATTTGTGGCCCATCACTGAAAAGCTGACTCCTCCATGCAGGACCAAAACCCCATGGGCCCTTGGTATGGTCCCTGACCCTTGTTGATAGGGATCCGAAGTATGGGCCCTTATTATGTATAGTGTATACAAGGGCGATATAACAAGGGACCCAAACTTAGGGCCCATACTTGGAACCTAAACCCTAAACCCTAAACCCTAAACCCTAAACCCTAAGAGAAGTGGCTTCAACACATGCGTAACGGCACCAGAGGTTCTAGCACATGAAGCTTTCAACTCAAGGGTGTCGCCGACCGGAACCCACACCCCCAGAACCTAGGGGTTTGGGTTTAGGGTTTAGGGTTTAGGATTTAGGTTTTAGGGTTTAGGGTTTAGGGTTTAGGGTTTAGGGTCATTTGAGCCCATACCTCCAAAGCTCGATTCCGTGTGTCAGCCGCGAGGCCATTTCTTGAGCTCATGGCAAACTGCTCTTACAAGTATGTCCCCGCCCAGAGCTGAGCAGGACTTTCGGCTGT